TGAACTTCAAAGCTATCTACTAAATAGTAGCCACATCTCCAAAGTCATAACTTAATGATACTAAGAAATCCTTCATATCTCTGAAAAAAATTGTACCAACCTAAAAAAATTGTATATATACAATTTTTAATTATTTATATCTATACTCCAATCCAAGCCATTATTAAGCCATATGCTACTAATAAGATAATGATACTCGAACCTGTCATACACTCATTTGGCCATGACATACGATGATGAAGAGACCAGGATGTGGCGTACTTGCTGTACTGCAAAGTACTCTAAAATCATTAAGTTATAATTTAAGACTGATGAATCTTCAAACTTAAACCTCTACATTCTCCTAACACAAGGGAAACTTTAACAGTTGTATTTCTACACTTAGGGCAGGGTGGCAAACTTTTCCTGTAAAGGGTCACATAGTAAATATTTCAGTCTCTGTGGGCCGTGGAGTGTCTGCCATAACCCCTCCACTCTGCCTTTGTAGCAGGAAAGCAGCTGTAGACAGCACATTCACAAATAGGGGTGGCTATGTTCTAATACAACTTTGTGTGTGAAAACAGACAGCAGGTCAGATTTGGCCCATGGACTGCAGTTGGCCAAGTGTCTTTTATGGACACAGAACACAGGGGCATGTTAAACATGCATGCGTGACTGTACATGTAAGCGGGAATATACCTATGGGCATCAGCGCACCAAACCTCTGCTGATCCCCATAACCACAGTTGCTTCCTGGGCATGTGATCTGTGCTTGCAGTTGCACACTCTGTGGTTGTGTCTTGAAATCCTTTATGATTTTATAGTGGAATCTGTGTTTTGTAAGTGAAGTCTGCGGGACAATAGAGTCGGGCTCAAGTGTGTGGTCTTATTTCTCCACTGCCTCACAGCAGCCTGGGCACAGTTCTCAAAACACTTGTTCCCCTCAGCATCCTCTCCCTAGCCCCTGGCTTGTGACCTTGCTGCCCTCCGCCCAGGGTGGCATGTGTTCTGCTGCTGATCTTTGTCCCTGGCAGGAGCATGGATGCGAGCCTGGGGAAGGTTGGGGTGAATATGTACACGCCTAGCATGTCAGGGCAGGACAGGACGGTGACCATCCCTGCCCCAGACTGGCAGCACCACAGCACACTCAGTGGACTTGGTGTGAAGCCTCTGCCCACCCTGATCCAGGTACCAGTGCGTCCCCAGGTGGAGGCTGCAATCTCCAGGGGGCTGCCCATCTGACCATCTGGGATGGGGAAGACTGATGCCCTCCCCTCCCTGCCGGGGCATGGTGTGTAGGTCCTGTGGCTGGTGGCAGGGAGAATGGAGAAGCCATGGGCCCATGTGCACGTCCAGTCATGTGGCACCCGTGGGGGTCTGCACTCTCCCTGTGCTGGAGGCACCCTGACATTAGATAGCAAATAAAAAACACTATGACAGGTGGAGAGAGAGACAGAGAGACTGCAGAAGAAATAAAAACATTTTACACCTTAGTACCTTTAACATCGCTTTTTTCCTGCTTTTTGAACAAAGGGCTCTGTATTTTCATTTTGCCCTGGGCCCTGATCAAAGGTTGGGGGCTCTAAAGAATCACCTTCTGAGAGTCAGCTACCAAAATGGAAGTTGACAAAGAAAACTCCACTTATGCATCACTCGTCTCTGAGTCAGCCGACCTTTGTGATGCACAGCAACACCAGGGCTTCCTGCGGCATTCCTGTCTCAACGGAAGGCTCTGAAATGAATTGTGTGCTTTGAGTTTCAGACTCTAAGGGGCTCCTTTCAGGAACTGGTGATTGGGGTTGCTGCTTGGGAGTCATTTCCTTCAAATAGTCTACACAGGATTAACTCACATTTCTTTAGAATGATGATGAGGCACCTTACAAATATAAAGCATAATCAAACACTATATATGAAATTTACTAACAGTAGACAGAGAAAGTTGAAATTTTTCTAAGATTTCCCTTTATTTCCTATTAAAGAAGGTAATACCATAACATTCTAACGTACAAAAATATGCCTGTTTTCTTTATTTGAATAAACCAACTGTGAAACAAACATTGTTGAGACAGTCAAAGAAATTTGAATATGGGTTAGGGATTATATGATATTAAAGAATTACTGTTAATATTGTTAGCTGTGATAATGACATAGTGATTATGAAAAAAATATCCTTCAGAGATGCACCCTGACGTTTTTATGAACAAAATAACATAATGTCTGAGATCTGCATTAAATACTTCAGCAAAAGAAGAAGTGGAGGAAGAAAACAGAAGAGGAAGAGGAAAATGAAGACGAGAAGATAGAGAAGAAGATGAAGTCAAAGAAGACAAAGAAGATGAAGATAACAATGAAGACAAAAAAGGAGAGAAAACGTGAGATAGATGGAATAGGACTGGCAACATGACGAAGCTGATGGAAATCTGGGAATTCATTATAATATTCTCTTTATCCTCATATATGTTTTTAAATTCCCATAATGGAGTGTGTGTGTGTGTGTGTGTGTATCTGTTGCCTACAGAAAATGTCTAATAAAAATTGAGGCACAGATTTTTCATTCTCCTCTATACCAAATGTCTTCTTTTGTGGGGGGTGGGGGAAGATGGGGGTGAAGCAAAAAGCATCCTCTGAGGCTGACAGGAGCTCTCTAAGCTGAAGAGACACAAAGGAGTTGATGGGAAGGGTAATCCACCCGTCGGTTCCGACACAGCATACAAAAGAAAAGGAGAAAATGGGAGAAGAGACTGCCATTGTGACTCCCCGACCTTTCCTTCTCATTGTGCCAGAGTCAAGGATCAGGTCACAAGGAAAACGATTTTGGTGGTCAACCATTTGCCCTATTTTGTATACATCAAAAAAGCTCTTGTTCTCACCACATTCCAACCTCACAGATTCCCACCTACTTTAAAACTGTATCAAGAGGTCAGATTAACAAAAATACCAACTAAATGACTATATTACAAAGAACACCTTATTTGTAAACCTAGAGATAGCCTTCTTGTAATTCTGAATTGCACGATATGTAACATTAAAGTTAAACACACTTTATATTATTACAGATATTTTAGATAAATGCTCACGACGCCCAGCTTCTAAAAGTGAAATGTAAATTTCTCTCTGGAGTGCAGATGGAGGCCAAGCAAAGCAGCTCTGGGCCTCCGGACAGAAGGTCAGGCCACGGCTGAAAGACCAAAGAACAATTGCCACTTTGCACTCCAGACCATCCACGGAATGAGACACCACCACTTTCTTTTCTGAAACTGTCTGTTCAATACAAAACAGTTCGAAAGAGTACCTACAAGATTTCCTCAAATTCTGTCCGAGGAAAAACGGTCACAGGCACATCACACCACACCACAAGCATTTGTAACTGTTCAGAGGTTTTACTCCTAACTCTATGGCCTCCTAAAAAGGCACATCTCTATCTAAAAACAACACTCAAAACCATTATGAAAACTGTTAATGTTTCACTGTTTAGCAGAAAATGTTTACAAACGAACACTGATCTTTTTAAAATCCTGCCACCCATCACTAGTTAATTAAAATGAGATACAGCACTAAAAGACAAATATTACAAAGATGTCTACACAGGTTATTCATTTTCAAGTGATATTGCGATCATACTGCTCCCATAGTGCTTTTTCTCTCTAGAACATTATCATGTAATTTTAAATAACTTAGAGACTTCCTTGCTATATTTTTCCAGTTAGTCTAAAATGTTGTTGGCAGATGCTATCAAATAACACAAAAGGTCCAAAAGAATGCTAATGAGCACGCCAAGACGATACCTTTTAAAAAAAGTCATAATGCACCAGGAAAGGAAAGTTCTGTTTTTGGTTTGGTAATCCTAGACCTTCAGTCCCTGATAGAAAGGATTTTCAATTCCACTATCAGGCACGCCCCCAACTGGAAAGAATAACACAATTCCATTACTTGTACATGTTAATAACGAAAAGTCCTTTGAAAATGGAAACTTGCTATAACACTTTGAATATACTGGTTTAAAGGCAGAATATGATTTTAGTGTTTAGATTTTAATTTGGCGCCAGAGATTTCAGTTATTACTCCCTGATAATGTCATTGTCACTCCCATTTTCAATGCTTTTCCTGATCATCTTTGGGTCATTTGCATAGAGAGTTAATTGGCTTGAAAGGGGAAAGATGTTGGAAAATACAATAAAAAGCTTTGAATTAGATATATATTTCAAAAAAATTACTTAGGTCTACCTACTTTTAAATTGTAGTAACTTCTTTAAAATATTGACACTGAGAACTCAGTCTTATTATTTTAACAAATAGATTTATCAACCTGATTTCACTGAGTATAAAGAATGAATGCCTACAATGTACTGTAACCTAAAAACAGAAAATCAAAAGTCAGCTTATTAGAAATGTTTCTCTAGAAACTTTATCCACGTTGTCAATTAAAATTGGAGTATCTACATGATCTCAACAAAGAACATAAAACATCTGCTCAAACTGAAATTGAAGTAAGCAGCATTTTCTCCCCTACATTTCTAATTTCACCGTATTTAGGCTTCGTAAGCAAACGTATTCATGGTTATCTTAGTTAAAACTGGTTTCACTCTGCCAACAATCACTTTGATTGATGTGTTTACATATCAACTCATCTCATCTTACAAATTTTAAACTTTTTTATTTAAAATTGGATTCAAGTTGGCATCTTTCAAGAACTTTATGTATGTATATTTTAGGTTCAAACTGTGCATTAGAACATTTTTTTTTACTTTCGTAAGTAATAGATACACATATCCAAATGTATATTTATGACCTGTCAGATTGGAATTTTATATGCATGCAGTTGTATTCTCACCATTTCATGTGAAAGGTGATAATTTTAGGCAACTATAAAAGAAATCCTTTTAATAGTATAAGCTAGATCATTCCATTAGTTAGAAGAAACATAACAGAAACAAATGACTTAGGAATAAAACCACATCAACTTCATAAAGAATGTCAGTTATGTCTTCAATGGCTGCACTCATGCTTGTGGCAACTCTTACCTGATCTTTAATTTCAAGGTCCCTGTTAGCTTTTGTTTTGTACTCTCTGTACTCCTTTTCTGCCTCATCCTTCTCCATTTTGGTTTTATTCAATTGATAGCGCATTTCCCCACACACCTGTTAGATTACAAACATTAGATCAATAGCTGCTGGAATTCACCAGGCAACGACAGCAATTAGATCTTTTGGTGCCCCCTAGAGGTCATATAAATAAAATACAATAGAACTTCTTTAGAAATGGTATTTTTTATTAGAATATTCAATATATTCTGTTAAAATGTGGAGGCAATATCAGAGATTATTGAGTCTAACAGTTTCAAATTACAAATAAATAAGTGTATAACTAAGGAATTCAAGTAATGTGTCCAAGATTTTGTATGTAAGATAGTAGTTTCAATTGCATATTATCATCCAAAATGCACCATCATCTCAATTTTTACATAAAAAGTATTAATTAAAATATCAAGGTATGTTATTATTCATTCAAATTGTTATGGTTAAATAAGTAGACACTCTACATTATAAAACTTTCCTTTAAAGACTTTATCAGTTAGGGTTTGGGTTTTTTTTTTTGGCGAGGAAGATTGGCTCTGAGCTAACATCTGCTGCCAACTTTCCTCTTTTTGCTTGAGGAAGATTGTCGCTGAGCTAACATCTGTGCCAATCCTCCTCTTTTTGCTGAGGAAGCCTGGCCCTGAGCTAACATCTGTGCCCATTTTCCTCTACTTTATATGTGGGATGCCTGCCACAGCATGGCTTGACAAGAGGTGCATAGGTCCACACCTGGGATCTGAACTGGTGAACCCTGGGCCGCCAAAGTAGAACGTGCACACTGAACTGCTGCGCAACTGGGCCGGCCCCGACAAAGACAAATTTTTAAAGATTATGTATCATCCAATGGCTATACTTGGCTGAAACTTTTCAATTTTGGTAATTCTCCAAAAATGATGATTAGAATTTTAGAAATTAGTTCATTACTGAGGTATTAGAATCTTATAGAACCTATATGCATTACCTATGTTCAAATAAAAAATACTTTTAAAAATAAACGAATCCACATTCCAAAGTTATAGCAACAAGACAGAAGTCAGTCAGCTTCTCCCCAGTGGCCCTCAAAAAGTTGGAAAAAGAACAAATTACTAAAAATTCTATTTGAAATTCAAATGCCTTTAATGTGTGAGTGTTGATCCTTCTCATTTCAAAAAAACTAGTAATTTACAAAACGTTATTAATTTTAAAGCTAAATAAAACTGAAAAATTGACGGAAAAAAATTAGAGGCCCTAATTTGCTTTCTTTCTTAGTTCTTCACTGCTCCAATCTATTTGATTTACATATAGGAATGAAATGAAAGAATCCAAATTGATAATACCAGAAAATAATAATCATACAACCATAGTGTTTAAAACCCAATGGCAATACAAAATTACTCTACGAAATAAATGTCTAAACATTAGGTCCTATTTAAAATTATTTTATCCCTTAATTTTAAAGTTCCCTTGCCTTACTACCTTCAGTTTGGAATTTGCTAAGTTATCTGCAACACTTAAATTCCATCTATAGTAAATCAACAAATCGAATTGAACTAGAATTACTTTATCTCGGGGATGGAAGCAACCTCACGGCACTCTTCTGACACTTGAGCCCTCTGGACAGCTCTACAGACAAAGTGTCCCAGGTGCCAGCCGAGAGTTCTCTCCCTACGATGAGCTGAAGACTGTTGCTAGAGCTTTCACTCATAAACCTGGGTTAATTACCTCTTCCTTCTCACCATTCCATTACTTCCACTCCTACCTCCACAAAAACGTATCAACTATATGGGCATATATGGTTATTTCAAAACTTCTACACTAGCTAGCTTGAATTTTAGAAAGCAAATGGACAATTATAGAAACTCAAAGAAAAAAAAGAAAAAATAGCCTCCCTCTCCTAGCATACGATAAAGCCAGTTTTAATTACTAAATTATAAAGCAACAAAGGAATTAAAAATGTGTCAAAATTTAGACAAATATGTTAAGTAAAATGCAATATGAAAAGAGTATATATTTTAAACAAAATTATCTGTGTATGTATTGGTGTAAAATAAATTGATTTAATTTATTACATCATGCATGCCCATAATTAGTTTCTTAGTTGTAAGTGATTACTGAAATGTACATGAACTTCTGGTGTTTCTTACATATGTATCTTACATTAGCCAGTGAAGACCAGGAAACACTTTAGTTCTGGGTTCACAAGTTTGTGACATCTGTAACGCAGACACTGTGATATTTTAAACTATAAATTTAAGGACCAATAAAATAAGAAGTGGTAGTATTAGAATCTTGATTTTAGAGACTAAATCTGAAAAGCAATGAGAGGTGGAGAATTTTTTATGTTAAGCAGACTTTTCGTGTTCTAAATATATGTCTTTCAGTATTACCGTGAGGAACAAACCTGTGGCAAAAATTACTCCTAATCAACTAATTTAGAAATACAAGTTTCATCAAATGTTGAAAAATTAAAGTAAAAAAACTTATTTACAAGTCTATCTCAGTCACCTAACCCGTCAGCTCTTGGGGACATTATTTGTGTCCAGTTCACCTCTGTGGTTGCAGCACCCAGAGAGAGCCTGCCGATCCTGAGTAAATGTTTGCTGAGTCACCATTATGTGGACTTTTATTATCTTCAAGTAACAAAACTTTTCTCCCCCAAACTTCTTTCTGAGCTTTGTACATGAGTAAAAGTTTTTTCAAAGAAAATATTTACGCAATTATTAAACTAAAATATCTCTTTGTACCTTTGTGACATCCATCTCCTGGGAAGCAAGCTGGTTTTGAATTTCCTCTAGTTGACTAACAGCTGAAATCTTCTCTCTTGTAACTTTTTCCACCTGGGCCTCTAATTGGGCAATATTCTGAGACAGGGTCAACATCTATAAGAGGGAATAAAAGTCCTAAATGATAATGTCATTTGACAAAATAAATACTAGAAATGTCTTGAATTAATAGAGCCTCAGCATGGCCACAGGGCTGTCCGCAAGTCATTTCTCTGTGGATTTGGTAAGTCCGTTTCTCTACATCCTCAACTCACTGACCAGCCCTGACTTAAACACGTAATCCCCTTCTATTCATTCCCTGGTCTCTACCCTCATTTTGGAAAACATTTATCAAGATGATAAAAATCAAAGTTTTAGTTGAAACCCTAAGGTGACAGGTGTCAGACACCCATTGAAATTATGACAGAGATTGACATGAATATATTTCCGAGGAGATGTCCAGGAATCAGACGACTCTTAAACCTTTCTCCCACAGGGAGGGCAGAGGAGGACCGACTGTGAGAGCTGGAGGGGCAGATGTCTTTACGGAGAGCTACTGCTGTTCTATGAATCGCAGCCACTCACCCCGCCACCAACCAGGAGGCGGCTCTCTGCAGCTCCCTGTGTTGGTAAAACCTCACCGGCCCACCCATCATCGGCCATCCCTGATTCCTCTCAGCCGTCATCTTGTCTCCTCCACGAAGGCTTCTTTGACCTCCAGCTCCTAGCACAAAATAGGAGCCCCGTACTGTGCCCCGTGGATACCCAGCTAGCGTGCACTGGGTGGTCTCGCCTGCTGCTTGCAGACGGCCTCCATTCTCATAGAGCGTTGCCCGTGCTGTCCTGGTGGTTTCAGACTTTGACTCTTCCTCTATCACACCCCAGCCTCTTCTCACACTGTTTTTAGTTCTCTGTTTCCTCATTAGACTAGAAGTTCCTCAAGGCCAAGTTCCTCAAGCGGTACCAAATGTTTGATGAATGAATAATTAGAAGAAATAGCTTTTCTGAGGGACTCTGCGGAGATCAGGTTCTTAGTTTTTCTTCTCAGGGTTAAGAAATGCCTTCTAGATCTGAGATTTAACCTTTATAGTTTTTTGTTTGCAATTACATTTCACTCTGCTCCAGTAAGCCAAATTTTTCTAGGCTCTTAATTTCTTATTTGTAGTAGTAGTTTTAAAATGAAGAAGAAATGCTACCTCACACCAGACCAAATCTATCAGGTTTTAATCTGTTAAAACAAGACCTGGTAATGAATTTGAAATAATAATAATATTAATAATAATAATAGTAATAGTTGAAATCTACCATTGTACACTGACATGGGTATTAATTCAAATTTTCTTTTTAAAGATTTTATTTTTCCTTTTTCTCTCAAAGCCTTCTGGTACATAGTTGTGTATCTTTAGTTGTGGGTCCTTCTAGTTGTGGCATATGGGACGCCACCTCAGTGTGACTTGATGAGCAGTGCCACGTCCGCACCCAGGATTCGAACCACTGAAACCCTGGGCTGACGAAGCTGAGCACATGAATTTAACCGCTTGGCCACGGGGCCGGCCCTTGAATTCAACTTTACAACTGAAATCAATAACTAAAATTTTGTGATAAAAATCAAGACTGCCTTTGAATTATATAACTAGCGAAAGTTGACACTTACAAAAACAATGGACCCTTGCGGCCAGCCCGGTGGTGCAGCCGTTAAGTTTGCATGTTCCACTTCTCGCCGGTTCGGATCCCAGGTGTGGACATGGCAGTGCTTGGCAAAAGCCATGCTGTGGTAGGCATCCCACATATAAAGCAGAGGAAGATTGGCATGGATGTTAGCTCAGGGCCAGTCTTCCTCAGCAAAAATAGGAGGATTACCAGCAGTTAGCTCAGGGCTAATCTTCCTCAAAAAAAAAAAAAGAAAGCAAAGGGCCCTGGTAGCTATTTTCTAATTTAGAAGGTAGATGTATTAATTAACTTTTCTGGGGGTTGTGAATTGTATATTTGACTTATAGTTGTTTACATGTACTTCTTATCATCAAAAGCTTGGCTACAAATTTAACTTGCAATTAAATTACTTTTATTGATATCAAGCTATGAACTATCCTTATGCATAGTGCAATCTGAACCTAAAATTAAAGGTCAAAAGAAGTTAAACGTAACAAATCAAAAATATTAATTTAATTTCCTTAATTTAAAAATTCAAGTTCATGAGTCTCTGTATTATGAATGTGTAATCATAGCTCTTCTGGAACCACGCAACAGCAACAAACTTTAATTACCAGCTACTAAAAATCATACTGTATGTGGAGATAGATGCTATGGGAAACAGTAACATTGTGTGGTTTTTGAAGTAAATACACAGACATTTATTTTGCTAATTGTGAATTCTGAGTCAGTTTCTATTATAAAGCATGTAACAAATCGCACTCTTTCCATATGATTCCCCCCTCTGCCACCTATCATTTCTTTCCTCTGCCCACTACCTGTCTGCTCCCTCCTGTCACCCACTTCCTGAGGCCTCCTCTCCTGCTGTCATACCTTCTTTTTCCCCATGCCCACCATCTGGAAGTCAACATTACACCACAGGAGCTTCTCCACCCACATCTGTTGCAGAGACAGAAGTAACACAGACAGCTGCAACACTGCTGGATGCCCAGGGCGTTGACATCAGCTAAGTCCTTTAAACTTTGACAGGGGCAGCAAGAGACAAGGACACCCCAGTTGGGAAAGCCTGATAGAAATCTCTACACAAGAGCAGTCCCTAGTGTTCTGAGCATGGTGAAAGGCAGTTCTCCCTATACAAGAGGAACAAGAATTAAGGATTCGAGCGATGGGCTACTATCAAGGGAGCCCACTGAGAAAACTTGTGGGCCTCGGGGCATTCAATAAAGACAGGATGGATGACTGATTGAACCAGCAAACCTAGGGGCTCAGTGCAGCCAAGGACCATGACTGAAGATGACAAACAAACTCACAGCAGGTACTGTTTGTGGCGGAATGGCTCAAAATCTGTCTGGGTAGAAGGCATCTGTTCTAGAGCTTTCCACACAAATGAAATTTAAGAAGAAGGAGTAAGAAGAAAGGAAAGAAGTAAAAATAATAAAAAGAAAGGAAGAAAATCTAGAAGTCCCGCACGCATTCCTCATTGCTAGGAAAGCAGTGGTCCTCGTTCTAGCACAGAGTACAGACGCCCCAGTGTCGGGGTGCATTAACGTTACTGTCCTGTGCTGGGCAGCGGATAGACTGTCTCTCTTTCAATCTCCTTAAAGAAGGAATTATATGGGATTCATTTTCAGTTGAAAAAAGAAGGTTCAGAAAATTAAGTAATTTGCCCAAATTCATTCGAGCTAATAAATAAAAAGTAAAGCTGTGCTTTATTTTCAAATCTGTCTGCTTTCACTAACACGAAGTTCCAGGAACTCCGTCCAGTAGGCCACTTCTCTCTTTCTCTAGAGATAAGAACGATAATCGCCACAAGCTAAAATCTACTAAATGCCCACTCGAAGCCAGGTATTATATTAGGTACTTTCAAAACTAGCTTAATCCTGTCAACTCCCATTTTTTACTACTCTGAAGGCCTCTTTCTGCCACATCCTGTGAGAGCACTTCTCTCAGTGCTGGGGCCACACTCAGCTCTTCATTCAGACATCAAATGTCAGCCAGGGCTTACTGGGGGCCAAACGACTCAGACTCAGAAAAACATTGTGTACCTGTTGCCACCTTTATTCATGAAATAATTAGCAGGATGAGAAAGATGTTCTGTTACATATGAAAGCACCTGGAGCGCTGCCTGGCACGTTTCAGCCTTCCTTTGTTCTTTCTTATCAGGAATTCTCATCTACATATTTTTATAACTACTCAGCAAGGCAAAAGCTTTCCACTAAACAACCCAGATAATAAAAATCTCCTGGGTGTGAACGATAGCTGGTCTTTGCTATTGATATCATTTTCTCTGACACAGACACAGTTCACAACTTTACCTCCCTTCACACCTTATTCATGCTGGTGAGAACCAGCATTCCTTCCCCCATACTCTGCATTTCTGAATCCTACTCATTCTTCAAAGCTCAGCTAAAACCCCACCTTCTCCACAAAGCCTTCCATGATCTCTTGCAGACAGGGATCTGTTTGGACCCTCTGAATTCTCGGCATTTGAGTCAGACCTCTCCAATGGCACAGGGCCTTGCTTCCTCCCCTTGTTTTACAATCATCCATTCAACAAATATCTATTGAGCACGTTTTTGTGAGAGGGTTGTGCCAAGCAATGAGGATGTTAACAGACCACACATTCAAGGGACACATAGTAAATGAGAGGAGACAGACAATTCAACAAGAATTTGCAATCCACTAAATTATGGGGGCCCACAGGAGAGGCTCCCCATTATCTTTGGGAGGTTGTGAGAGGATGTGGTATGAAGAAGAACTCTGGAGGGTCAGTCAGAGAGGGCAGAGGAAGATTCCCCTAGGCAGGGGGCAAAGCACAAGCAAAATCCTGAAATGAAAAAACGTATGGCAGATTGGTATGTTGGTATGTTTGAGAAAGTGCAAGAAAAGTGAAGGGAGGTGAGACTGGAGAGCCAAAGAGAGGAAGAAAAATATAGAAACTTAATGCTACACTTAAGGATCTAAATTTTATCCAAGTGGTTGCAGGGAGACATGAAAGGATTTGAAAGCAAGAGAATGACATGTTGACATATGCATTTTAGAAAGATCACCCTGGTTGTGGTTTAGAGAACAGATGAGAAGGAGGTGAGACTGGAAGCGAGGAGACCACTGGGGCTATAGGAATCATCCACAGTCAGATACGGATAGCAGTGGGATGGAGAGACAGGGCAATGTAAAACTCCTGGAGGTCTGACTCTCTAGAACTGGGTGACTAAATGATGCATAGGGCGAGGGAGAGGGGGAGACAAGGGTGACAGCAAGCGCTTCCCCTGCAAGGGGAAAGATGGGAAGCTGGTTTGGGAGCTCACTAGAGAGCTAAAGATTTAGGAATTAATACCATATATGAAATGAAAGCCACAGTAGTGCTAAAGACACTAAGTCTAAAGTTCTCTGCTAAACTCTAGAGCCTTCGACAGCTGCTTTCTGGATGAGTGTCTTTCATTGTCTCAAAGGCACTTGAAATTCAGAGTAACTTAAAAAGCACACACCGTCATTCTCCCAAATCAAGAATAGAGATTCAGAGAAATTAAGGAAAGAGAATCTTTTAAGAATAAAAACTTAAAAATATTCCCTAAAAATAGCACAAGGACGTCTTCAGCAAACATAGCAGTGTAACTTCATTGACCGTGGGCACAGAAGCTGAAATGCAGTCGCTGAAGGGTGAATGCGAGATGGGAAAATAAAGGCAGCACATAGGGATGGATCTTTCCAGAAACTTGACTGTTAAGGGGAAGAGAAAGGAGGGAGATAGAACTACTGAGGTGACGTCCAACCTTGGCTGCACACTGAACTCGCCTGGGCAACTTTAAACAATACTGATACCTGGATCCTGCCCCCAGACAGCTTCACATAAGTGGTTTGAGGTGCAGACTGGGCAATGAGATTTCCGGAACTACTGTGTAGCCAAGATTGAGAGACTGTTTCTTTCAACAGGTGAGAGGAATTTGAGAGTATTTTCCTGATGACAAGGAAGAGGCTGTAGGGAAGGAAAGTCTGAAGATTCAGAAGGGAGGGGGAACGAATGGAACAAGGGCCCTGAGGTGGTGGACGACGATGGGATCCAGAGCAAGAGAAAAGAAGCAGGATTACACCTCTCCCATTCTGACAGGGTTGGGATGCAGGTCAAAGTTTACTTTGAGCCAGAGGTGAGGGGGAAAATAAATAGTTGAAGTGGTTATCACCTAATGGCTTCAATTTTCTTCATTAGGTAAGTAAGACTGTCTGCTGAGAATGAGAGGAAAAGCGGTACAGCAGAGAATGTGAGGGGACTAACAGTGATTTGAAATAGTCAACAAAAAATAGGTCCAAGATACCATCCCTTCCCACCTGGACTACCATAATTCCCTCCCACCCGATCTCCAGGCATTTATTCTGCTTCTCCTTCCAATCTCTTGACAGACGATTTTCCTCAAATATAAATGCCATCATGACACTGCCCAATTTAAAGCCATTCAATGGCTTTCCAACACTTTTTGGATAAAGTTTAACATCCTTCACTTGGATTTTAAGGCCATTCATGATTTGGTCCCTGCACACTTCTCCAAACTCATCTCCCATTATTCTGTCCCTCACTTCCTACGTTCCAGCCACCTGGCCTTCTCTAAATTCCTAGGAAGTACGATACTTTCCACCTTTAGAGTCTTGGGGGTATTTTTTTCCTGGGTCTGAAGCTCATCGTCTCAACTTCTTACCTGACGGCTTCTACTCAACCCTTTGGAGACTCATTTTCAAAATCTCTTCTCAGGAAAGTCTTTCATGACTGCCCAGACTGGGTCATGTTGACCTGTTATACTTTCTCACAGTATGCTATACTGTACCTTCATGCCTTTGTCACAGTGGTAATTAAAAACTCATTTACGGAAGGAAGCGTTTAATGTCTACCTCTCCCACTAGTCTGTAAACTTCAGGAGGGAACCTCATGGGTCCTGTGACTGCCACACTCCCACATTCCAGTTTGTTACTGTTTTCAAACACTGCCCATTTCATGGTCTCTGTTCCTTTCACCTTTAATTTCTCCCTTCCATTTATTCACCTGGTTATGGTCATTATTCATCTTGAAATTTGTAAGAACCTATTTGTACAGGGTACATAATCACTTTTTCTTGGTTACTTGGTTTCTTGTAAATGTTTTATTTTCTGCAAGTCTAATTTGGGAGTGGGCATGAAGTAGGGGAGTCATCTGTCTTTGATTTAGCCAAGGTAGAAATAAAATCGGATATCTGCAGGGCACCTGCTCCCCTCTGACCAACAGGAGAGACAGAATTAAGAGGAACGACAGGATTAAAGCAAATTTCACAATTTCATATGATGGAATCTAATGGATTATTTTATCTGGAAGGGTCAGGGAATATCACTTTTACTGAGAAATATATGGAAAAATAGAAAATTTTTATGAGCTTTAAGTTATAAGAAATTTGACTACTTACAAGGTTTTAAAATTTAAAGTTCATTCAAGAATTGCAGCCTACAGAATCATCAATGACATCAGCACAAACATTTCTTCTGCAATGTGGGTAACAAATTGGATCCTTAAGTACCTTTGACGCAATATCCTCCCTTTCTTTTGTTATTTCATTTTTCATCATCTCTTTCTCAGAGGCCCTTTTCTCTTGCTGAGATGCAAGCTCTTTTTCAAGTCGTTCGGTCTGCCTCTCCAGTTCACTCTTCAACTGCTCACACTGGATTAAAGCCTGCCGGAAACAGACAGTGAAATGGAGCTTAGAATTTGGAAAAATAAAGGGAAAACGAGACAATTAAGTTTTAATTTTGTTTAAAATAGTTAAAACACACTATAAAGTCAAGTAGAATAATTTTCTATTTCTTAACACCACTTACTAATCTAAAACAGTATTCAGATACTACATGTGTTCAGATATTTCAATTTTCATAATTAAGGCTATATTAATTTATCAACTAACAAAATTCAGGTAGTGCACTTTGATGAGAGCCACTGATGAATCAGAATTATAAAAAAGGGGATCAGAAAAAGGAAGTGTTCTAGCATTTTCAGTTATATATCATGTTTATACACAAGAAATATATAAGTACTAAATTTGACTGATTTTTCATTTGCTCATGCTTAAAAATTATTTGAACACTTTAAATGATAAATAGATTTAAAATAATCTCAGTTTAAAAATAAGTCCCAATAAAATTAAAGTGCTTAGCACAGAAAATCTGAATCATTCTATGGTGTCTTAGTTTTTATCCCAGTGGCTCTAATCTACGATATCTCCCTCACCCAACCTCTATTTTCCCTTGAATTGGTAGCAAGAAACTCAAATCTCTTATGACTTACATACTGTGTAATTATAAATTTGACAGTCACTTTTGTTGTTAATAGAGACAGAAATTGTCTCAGTAAGCACTATAAGTTTCATGTATAGCCATGCTTCTCTCTGGTGAAAGCAATAATAAATACAGACAAATGTCTAGGATATATGAATTTTCCTCTCTTCCTCTGGAAAGCACTAAACTCCAATTTCTTGTAAACTCTTCTCAAAAGTTTCTGTACTCCTTGGCACAAAGTATGGGGGTAAAATTCAATTGTGTCAGATTAACAGATAAGGAAATACGATGACTAAAAATGATTCTCCTAGGGAGTCAGTCCCAAGTCCAATTCCAGATGAGAATGCCTGGAAAAGAACATTTTAAAAGAAATGAAAAAGCATAATTTTTCTATAATTTAAGCCCTAGGAGCTTGAAATATTATGAGTTAGAGACTTTCGTGCTTCAGAATATAATTGCTCTTGTGAAAAATATTTTATATGAACCTAAAATATGTTCATAACTTTTGCTGATATAATGACTATTATTGGCATGAAAGAATAAAATGATCATTGACTATAAACCAATATACCCAATCAGAAGGTTTTTAATTGAACAAAGACTCAGAGCTAACATTATTAACTATAGGAACAGTGGAAGGGACTGCTGCAGATCTAAAGATCAGGCTATGGGAATAAAAAGAATCAATCCAAAGAAGGCAGTCAACTCGGGAACAGTAAAGGATCCTGACAGGATAGGAGGCCTGATGCCGAGATAAGATGAGAGAAAGCGCTGAAACACAGCCACTGCTGAAGCCTTGGTTTGTCGGTGGCCTTCTCTCTACTTGGACTAGCCACCCCCAATGATGAAGGAAGTATGAAAGCAGTAATGAAACAATGAATGAAGACACTACATTAAAAACTGGTTATGGACTTCTCTTGGTGTGTGACCAATGACTCCATATCATAAAATAGCATTTACTTCTATTCGTTTTGATTTTAATACATACGCCCAGCCACAATGAAGAGAATATTAAGATTTAATAACACTTGGAATTAGAAAAGTGGTTTAATCTTTCTAAAGATATCTCTCTTATAATGGACCTCACATACTAGAATATTTGGTTCTACTAAACAAATATTTATACACTATTTCCATTAAAGCTTTTCCTTTTAATTCTACGGCTCCCTCTCCTACTTTCTAGAATCCCAGCTGACTCAGTATCCCTGATCATACTCCTCTAACCATGCAGTAAAGGAATAACTGAATTCTCCAAGGCTAGGTCAGTCAATGGTCAATTACCACTAACTGATAGATCTTCATGGGTGATCAAGCCAATTTGGGGCCTGTGGCTGCCATTTCTCCCTAGAATTCCCAAAGTGTTGGCTTCTCTCTTTCCTGGAGTGCAGCCCCTTTCTTGATGGAAATGCTTGTAGGTCTTGGGAAGTTGAGGAATTACACTTTCTCCCCACCTAGTAGACTCAATCCATAAAAGACCTTCTCTCTTCCAGGAAATTTCTTTATTTGTGGTCATTCTATGCTGGCCACATTAACACCTTTTTCAAAACATAATTTATTGGGCTTGATATTCCCAGTCCTAGTTTTATTAAACCAAGAAGTATACATTATTATCTTAATGGGGTCAAAACATTTTCCAAAACAAATTTATGTCTAGTCAACTCAATTTTTAAAATAGAAAAACTATTTTAGGACATATAAAAGTCCTTCTTAACTGCTAGGGTTAGGTTCCTAGAAATCCTTGTGATAGAAGAATTCATGATTAAAGAATTAAAGATCTTATGAGAAATATAGAGTTCATACTTGTGAATGTAAACTTAAAAACTTATGAAAATGTTTTTATTTTTATGAAATAAAGCCCACAAAATAAAAATGATTATCAATGAATTTTAGCTTATGAATAATGCATAATATTGATTTTAACTTATAAACGCTTGCTTACTAGAAACCTATCAGTCAGTCTATCCCTACCTCCCATTTTCAAGATATTTATAATTTGTTTTTGTTTTGTGGCAGATATTGTACATATCAAGAAGCATTACTTTCTATGACTGTGCCTGCAATCAAATACACAATGCTTTTCTGATTTTCTTTCCAGTTTTCTAATTCTTGCCTTTCTGATTCCGCTGTAGTCCAAGAAAAACGATAATTGGGATACTTAAAAAGGAAAAAAAAGTTTTGGGGACATTTATTCAACCTACCAGGTTGGTATTTTTTAAAAACTCTTCAGAGGGTTATCTCATCTGAGATTATGCTGATGGTAACCTCACGTCGAAGTCAACATTTCCCTTCAAACAGAAGCAGGCAGGTCTCAGGCCTGCTTAACCTGGCATCTTGTAGCTTTCCCAAGGCATCGCTACAGGAGCCTCTACTCCACCCTCAGTTATTCCCAGGTTATTTTTTTTTTTCTCTTTTAATATTATCCCCTGTTGTAACGACTTGCAATTTTCAAAGATAAACAAAAACATTTACTGAGCTCTTACTACTTGCCAGATACTTTACTAAATGGCTTATAAGGATTAATTTATTTATACAAGGATTAATTTATTTAAGCCCTTCAGTAAATTTTAAGTGGTTCCTATCACTCAGTTGAAGAAACAGGCTTTGAGACAGTAAATAATTTGCCCAAGATCACAGATCTGGAAAGCGGCAGAGTAGGCATTTGATCCAAGGTAGTTTCACAACTGACTCTATGTTTGGCATTCTAACTTTCTTATGTTATAAATTTATTTTCTTATAAAATCCTCAGGTGTTTCCACTGCCACTATAAATATAAATACATAATACAAAAAAATTCCTTCTGCTTCCTTAGCATGCAATGTACAAAGTGGACACTAGATGGCAACAAATGTCAAGGAACTATAAGAACAAAGTAACCATTACAGAGCCCAGTAATCAAGGGTTTGATTCTAAAATTAAAATACGTATGCCATCTCACTTTTTACTCTCAGAAAGCAAAATTCCTAATGTGCTTTACCATACCTTAGAGATATAAACTACTAGACCGGCACTGCATTTTGTAAACTGCCTAGAACTCCATCCTTGCATTATTACTAGTCCAGTGAAAAATTCTATGGATTCACAATACACAATAGCCTCTCTAGTTCTCAACTGTTAAATTTTGAAAATCACTATTACTAAAATTCACATTACTATGTAAAGTTAATAACTGACTTTAATTCAACAACCATTTACTGTGCAGTTAATATGTAACCAGCCATGTGGGGAATACACTGATAGATGTCACAGACCTGACTTTTAAGGTCTTTTAGTAGAGCGAGCTACATAAACAGCTACCAGAATTATACACAGCATCAGCAGGAACACAGAGGATGAAGAGATTAAACAAGATTCAGACAGAAGGGGCTGGGGAAACTTCTAGGAAGACTGTTAGCTGAGTTGAGCCTCATCGGCTGAATAGAGATTTCACAGATAAATACAGTGCAGAAAATATAGCGTTAACAAATTCAAATGGTCAACTGTAGGTCACGTTCTGGAAATAGCAGAGATTATATTAAAGAGTGTAGTAAAAGATAAGGCTAGAAAAGTTAGAGTGGGGCCACACTGTGAAAGATCTGGAAGACCATGCTAAGGAATCTGTCGTTCATTCTACTGCAAGAGGAGAGCTACCTGAACAGGCAAATCTGCACTTCAGGAAGACTTTGGCTGCAAGGAGAAAGATATGCTGCAATTGGAAGAGACCCGGGGACACCAACTAGAATGCTATTGCAACAGTCTGCACAGGGTGCATCAGAGCATCTACTCAGAGGAATGGAGGGCAGGCATAGCTCAGTAAGGGACTCCGAAGAGAGAGGGAGAGCTTGGTAACTGACTGGATGTAGAGAGTGAGAGATAGGGAGGAGCCAAGATATTTTAAAGGACGCAGACCAGGGCTGTTGGTAAGACGATGATGCCATTGTCTGAAAAAGATAATACAGAAAATGGTAGAAGGAAAAGGAGTGGTGGACAGGAAGGTGGAGAAAATTAACAAGTTGCTTGTGCAGAGTTTCAGATCCTGGTGGCAAATCATCCATATAAAGAGGTCTAGTAGCAGCAAGAAATGTAGGCCTGAGGCTCGGGAGAGCTATCAGAGCTCAAGACATAACATAGGAGTGTTCAAATGAAGGTGACGGTCTGGCCATGAGAGGAGAGAATGGATCCCAGAAACCAGCACAACATGGGTGGAGGCCAGGAACTGACTCGGAGGAAAGTCTGCATTAAAGGCTTGTGGAAAAAAGTGAAAAGAGACTTGAGAGGAGTAGAGAGGAGCAATATAAAGAGGACCCACAAGAGTAAAACATCAGATAAATCACGAGAAAGGGATGATATGTTACGATAGACAGTTAATGGCTTGCACAACCGCAGAGTCTGAGTCAACTGAGGAATGAGATGAGCTCACTGGGTTTAGTAATCTGGAAGTGACTTGGGAGCACTCCATGAGCATTCAGCCGCAGGAAATCAGAACACAGTTTGTTGAAAGCCCGACTGTGATGTGTTCAGGAGTGAACAGAAAGTGACAAGGGTAGAGGCCTGTTCGAAAAGGTCTGCCAGTGAAACGATGGTGAGATGGCAGCAAGTTAAGTGGAAGGTGATCAAGGGCAGGCTGCTCTGTTTGTTCAAACAAGAATAACAGCTGCAGATAGGATGAGGGAGAAAAATAGGATGAGGAAGACGGAAGGACAGAAGACACAAGAAAGACGTGATGACAAACGGCTCAGGGCCCAAAACCCTAGAAGTAGGAGATATCAAGAACTTAGAGAAAGAGACCCATCCTGGGAAGTAAGGGGGCCAGATGCACAAGAAAAAGGTGAGTAGAAGACACATTTGAGGGATGAGGAGGTGCTGAAGAGGCTCTTGTCAGTTGGTCGTGATCTCAATACAGTGGGTCATCTACTGAGAGTGAGGTGGTAAGAGTAGAGTTGGGGAAGGGAAGAGTGGAGTTCCTGTCTATAGATAAGGGAGTTAACTGCAAAAAAAGAATTGCTAAACAGCACCTATACCCATTGAAGGCAACCAGGATTATCTCCTGTGGAATTTGTTCCCGGGCTTTCTTAAATAGCTTTCTTCAATAGCTTTCTTCAGCCGTGCTTGATAGGCTGAAAGCAGCAATAGAAAAAAAAGTGTGATTGGGCTTAACTTTCACTGGACACTGGCAAAGTGAGTAAACTAGAAAGATAAGAATACAGGAATTCTAGGGTGTTAGTGAGAAAATAGATTGCATTTCCCTTAGTCAGTGGATATTTACTGAGTCACTATTACACACCAAGCACTATGCAAGATGCTAGGGATTTCATAGTGAACAAGATGGATATGTTCCTCCCTGCCAGAGATTTTAAAGTTTAATGAAAGATATAGACAAATAAACAATAACAATACATTTTGATAAAGGCTTTAATAAAGAGTGATTCTCAACAAGGTGCAATCCTCCAACCCCAGGGGACATTTGGCAATGTCTGGAGACATTTTCAGTTGTCAGAACTTGGGGGAGAGGGGTGTGCTACTGGAATCTAGTGGGTAGAGACCAGAGATGCTGCTAAACATCCTAAAATATGGAGGATAACCTAAGAAACAAAGAATTATGCGGCCCAAATTGTCAACAGTGCCAAGACTGAGAAACACTGCTAAAAAGCACATAAGATGTACATCAAATCTAGGATGGAAGATCAAAGATTTTCCAGAGAGACTGGCATGTAAACTAAGATCTGAAGGATGGAGAAAATATGCAGGCAGTGGGGGAGAAGAATCTGCATGACATGTACAAAGACTCGGAAGCTGGGAAAAGCATGGCATAATCAGGGGGATTAATGGTCATCACCACCAGCACCACTATTTATTCAAAATGCAGTTCTCATGAAAACCCTAGAAGTCAGATATTATTTCTATTTTACAGATGAGAAAAAATGAAGGCATAGAGAATTAAACAACTTGCCCTAGGTCACAAGCTAGTGAATGGTGGGGCTGAAAGTTGACTCTAAGTCTGGTTAATTCTAATAAGACCAGGCCCAACCTCTGAAGTCGACTGGCTTTCCAAGCTGATGGTGGCTGAGTCTGCTGGAGGAGAGTCACAAGTGGCAGTGAAGGGTTAAAAGGAAGCATGTTCTCCCAGACCTTATAAGGCTCTGAAAGAGTCTGAAGATTATCCTGAAGGCAGTGGGAAATCCCTGAAAGACTTTAAATCAGGGAGTCACATGATCAGATCTGCCCTGAAGCAAGATCACTTTCTGGCTGCAGTGTAGGGAATGAGCGAAGGAAAGGAGACAAGGCTGTTGTAATTCATAAATCCAGACGTTACAGGGGGCCTGAACAAGAAAGGTGACAGTGAGGAAAGAATTCAGGAAAACTCCAGAAACTAAGATTTGTACTCAGTGATTGGTTGGAAGTAAGGAATGAAGGAGAGGATTCAGGTTCCGGTTAGGGCATGTTAGTGGACAAAGGTGCCATTCAGTGAGGAGAGGACACAGCAGTTTTGGGGAAGTGAACACAATGAGTTCAATCTGGGATTGTAAAATTCATATTTAAAAGGAAAGAGTAGAAGATCAGCCTGGAGACAACAGAGAAAACGAGATATGAGAGGAGGCTGACGAACTAGAGGCAGAAATGAAGACACAGAGTAGATTTAACTGGGATAGGGAGAAAAGCAAATCTCTGGTCAAAGCGAGCAGTTTCAGAGTCTAAGATCTGATGGACACTTCAGTTCACAGGGGAGTTACAGCAGAGTAGGGAAAAAACAATAGAATTAACGAAGCCAAAGTGTGTTGGGACCAAGGTGTTGCATATATTAACAATACGGATGTTGAAACGTTTAAGGATGATGAAAGGAGGTAAGGTGGAGGGCGCTGTAGACTGAATGTTTGTGCCTCTCCAAAGTTCACACGTTGAAACACAACCCTCAATGTGACGGTATTTGGAGCTGGGGCCTTTGGGAGGTGATTAGGTCATGGAAGTAGAGCCCTCATGAATGGGATTAGTGCCATATAAAAGAAGCCCCAGAGAGACCCCTCACCCCTTTCGCCCTGTGAGGGGACAGTGAGAAGGCAGACCTGAAACCGGGATCTCACCAGACACAGAACCTGCCAGTGCCTTATCCTGGACTCCCAGCCTCTAGACCTGCGAGAAATAAGTATCTGTGGTTTAAGCCCCCCAGTCTGTGGTACTTCTGTCATGGCAGCCTGAGTGGACAAAGACAAGAGGGAAACGGGTTAGACGCTAAAGCTCTTAAAAAGGGTCAAAGGGGGCTGGCCCCGTGGCCGAGTGGTTAAGTCTGTGCGCTCCGCTGCAGGCGGCCCAGTGTTTCGTTGGTTCGAATCCTGGGCACGGACATGGCACTGCTCATCAGACCACGCTGAGGCAGCGTCCCACATGCTACAACTAGAAGGACCCACAACGAAGAATATGCAACTATGTACTGGGGGGCTTTGGGGAGAAAAAGGAAAAATAAAAAATCTTTAAAAAAAAAAAAGGGTCAAAGATTCCATAACTATTTTATAAACCCGAATAATAAAATGCAGGATTTTGTTTTTAAAAAAGTGTCAAAGAGTGTCTTCTAGATTGAGAGTTTATAATGACTAAGATTAAGGAGAAGAGAGACAACGCTGATCTCAAAGAGGAATGAGAACTGAAAGTAGGTGCCAAAACAAAGGCCTAGACACGGCAGTTAAGAGCGAGGCGAATGCTGCTTCCTCTGTCGCAGCACATGAGAGGAAATGAGTGACAAAGGGCCTTTGCTGGGGGTTGAGGATCATGAGATCATTAAGGGATAGCAGAGCTCAGTACAAATGAAGAAACAGGAGTGTTTCAGGAAACAATAAAGACGTTAGGGAGTTTGGTCAGAACCAACGTAAGGTTTAGAAGACACAGGGGCATTAGTAATGAAAACAGTGAGAGTTAAATGGTCTGGGAAGAGTTAGGGATGCACTGGATAGAGACAAACGGATAAGCAATGACTGAGAAGAGGCTTAATACAGAGTTGAATAGCCCAGTATAACACTACTGCTACTATACGGCTTAGACTAACGGTATCCAACAGAACTTTCTGTGATGATCGAAATGTTCTGTATCTGCACTGTCCAACACAGTAATCAATAGCTGCATTTAGCTATTGAACACTTGAAGTGTGGCTAGTGTGTATAGGGAAAATACACAGCAATTTTAATGGATTAAGTGTGGCCCCCAAATATAGCAATCAATCAAGATAACAATGAATCAATGGTAACCTCCTAGTGTTTACAGTGCCTAGAACACTGCCTGATCAATAACTGTCAATTATGGTTGATTGAGCATACAATGGATCCAGACTCATAGCTCAAGATGCTATTAAATACACACATATTATCATCTGTGGCATATTTGGATGTTCTCAAAATTTCCCATGAATAGAGAAAAAAAAGATGTCTTCAGTCGTACATGAACATACACAAATGAGTGAGTATGGGTGTTTCGATTTTCACAGCACTAAAAATTATCAGCAAATAAAAAGCTTAAGCATACGTCTCTCAAAGTACTTTACCACACTGCACTACATTTTCTTTTTTTGTTTTCTTTTTTTTCCTTTTTAAGATTTTATTTTTCCTTTTTCTCCCAAAGCCCCCTGGTACATAGTTGTGTATTTTTACTTGTGGGTCCTTCTACTTGTGGCATGTGGGACGCTGCCTCAGCATGGCCTGATGAGTGGTGCCATGTCCGTGCCCAGGATTCGAACTGGCGAAATCCTGGGCCGCCGAAGCAGAGTGCATGAACTTAACCACTCGGCCATGAGGCTGGCTGCATACATTTTCTGAATAGTGATATAACAGGAGTATTTGCAGAGGAATAATAATTTTCCAAATAGTAAATTTGTTTAATTTAGAAAAGTCAACACTAACAAATTGGTATTCACTTTGTGTGTTTGGAAAAGAGTCTAGTGATGGAAGAATACCCAAAGAAAAACTCAGGAAAAAAAAAAGAGCAATAATGGCATGCTTTTATTCTAATCCTATTAGACTTGCCTTGGTTTTTTCAAAATTGGCTTCCTCAGTCATCTGCACAGCTTGTTTCACCTGCTCATATGCACTTGCTTCCCTTTGCTGCGCATATGTCAAGCTGCTCCTTACGGAAACTAGTGCAGACATTAAGTCATCTCTCTCTCTGTTGGCACACAAAAAAAGAACATTCAAAATAAGAAATGATCAAACGACCGTGTATTCGTAAAGTCGGGAAGAAAAAGGCATTACTAGGTATTGGAAGAAGGGCCAGGGCCGCCCTCGGCGCGCACTGCAGCAGAGCCCAGAGAAAGACCCTCTGTGCTCACTGGGTGAGCGGCGAGCAGTAAGGGCAGGCCTGCATCTGGCGGGACAATAACCGATTATGCGGAGGCCTGGCACACCGAGGCCTGAAGACTAAAGCCCAGACAAGAGGAAATTAGTTTAAAAATAAAGAGTGGGGGGTGAAAAGGAAAAAAAAGGCAATAAGGTAGGGAAGGCAGGGAATGCACCTCGAAGGAGGAGTAAACACATTAAGAGGGGACCACTAAGGTTTTATTTACACTGCCGACTCTCCTCTCCCTTTCTTGAACAAACAGATGTCCCTGCCTCCGTATCTGCCTCCACGATCCTCTTTGTCGCTCTTCTCTTTCACCTACTCATGAACACATTTCTTCCTTCAATGCATGGTCCCATTAAATCCCTCAAATGCCCTGCTTGTGCCCATAACGCTGGTAATTTAACCAAACCTTATCCACTGGGTTGACGGGTGCCTAGCCCCGCCCCTTCCTCAGCCATTCTCAGAAGTATCCTAAGCTGAGCTATTTCTGGGGACAGAAGTAAACCAAATGCCAAAATGCTTTGACATGTAAAATGGCAAGGATCCAATCTCATGGGTTAACTTAACCGCACGTAAAAGATCCCAGGATATCTGGAATTTATCCACTGGATTAAAATGACCAAAGGGAAACTGAGGTGGGAAACTTTCTTTACACACAAAGCAAAAAAACGTAAGTTGGACTGTTCTGTATGCTATTCCATCCTTGTCACAGGGCTCAAGTTTCAAACTGTGCTTTCAAACTCAGTTGAAGTAACTGCTTGCAGTTTCATTTTCATTGCCAAGTTCCAAACTAGCAAAAAAGAGCCAACTGCGATTTTCCTTTCATTTAGCAAACTTTAAGGAGTAATAATTTAAAAGATCATGAACTCTGGGCTTGAATTGCTTTCAGAATTAACCAATGATTCCATTAAAAAAATCTCTTAAAGATAAAACAATTTAAACCATTTGTGGTATTTGGAAAGCAGCCATATTTTAAGAAATATGTAATACTGAACAAAGTTACAGTTATTAGCAGCTTCATAAAAGCTCCTTTTGTTTAAAAAAAAGAATAAATTGCTTCAAATATCATAAAATTCATGGTGCATGGTGATCTTCATCTTAGAATTTCCTGATTTGTTTGTTTTAAATTGGGAAAAATAGTTTACTTTTTTTTGTTCTAAAGGAAATGAAAAAAGGAGTTTATTTTTATCAAATATAATCAAACACAATGATTATGTGAAAAAGTGGAAGAATCAAAGCAAGATTAAATTATTCTCGTTAAGCTGTAAATTAAATGTAAGCAAAATTGAACTTACATTTATTTGAATTTCAAAATAAGCTCTAACATAAAAGGGTACTAGCTTCATTGAGAATATGCAATCCAACTAGAACATATGATTCTAGAAGAAAACCTAAATTCACTTTTCAAGGATAGCAAGGTCAACGTGGGCATCATATAGTCACCTTTCTTAAACTTCCAAAACCTACTGGAAAACCAAAATCACTATTCAATGACAATCTTATCTGTTCCTGATACCACGCCATCATCAAAGCCAAAGTTCCAAATAAAAAGAACTAACAAAAAAGCTTAGTGTTTGTAAGTGTGTTAACAGACAGATCACAACAGAATAAAAGTCTAACACACCTGCTTCTTATATTTAATACATTTCATCTCTTTTCAGTATATCCTCTTGCGAGAGGAGTTTGCCACATGGTAGCTCCTTAATGAAATAAATGACAAAAGAATGAATGAATAATGACTGCTACAGGAGGGCACCAAAAGAGGTGAAGTAAAACTTCCCCCCAATTCTAATATTTTATGATCTAAATTTTAAAAGTCACTAGAGTATTTAGAATTGGAAATTAAAGAGTTTAGTTGCTCTGGTTCAAAATTTTTTCAGAATATCAACCCACCAACTCCATATTACTGAACCAGAGAAAATCATTAAAGATAAACCCCAAAACACCGTTGTCTTAAGATCATCATTTAGCAGTGAGACCCGTAAAATGATTATACTAAAAATCTGTGTAGCCACTGGACTGACAAACTCCAATTTTCTGTAAGAGAAATGTACTATATTCTGCGGTGGCCTTCAACCACCTGGGAAGCTCAGGAGAGATGGCTAAATTGCATATACACTTACAGCTGCAGTAGCCATTTTGGCAATTTGGGATTTTCTACTCAGTGCTACATTTCTGGCTTTGTTTTGTTTCAACTCAGCCAGCCCATATACCAAAGAGCAAGCACTCAGAAACAGAGCTCTAGCGTGTCAGCCTTGTCCTCAGCACAAGGCCCTGCCTCCTGTCCACGCCTAGGTTCGTCTGGCTCACCTTGATTTAGCTCCCATCTTTCAGCCCCATACTTGTCCCTTGAGTCTAACAGTGCTCACTCATTATCTGCCCTTCAGAAACAGTCAATTCCAGCTACCCAGGGTAACTACCCAGGCAGTTGTAGTCCTGCTCCAGAGCTCCCAGTCCACTGGGCCAGCCCAGAGCCAGGCCACAGTGGCCTCTCGCCATGGGACATTGTCCAAATATACATGACACATCAATGACAGAGTGAGAGGGCAGTTCTCCAAATTACCATTTCCATGGCAAAAGTTGCGTGACTGCTTAAAAACACCACATGTGGGGCTGGCCCGGTGGTTTAGTGGTAAGTCTGCGTGCTCCACTTTGGCGGCCCAGGGTTTTGGGGCTTGGATTCCAGGCACAAGATCTGCTCATCAAGCCATGCTGTGGCAGTGTTCCACATAGAAGGATGGAGGAAGATGTTAGCTCAGTGACAATCTTCCTCAAGCAAAAAGAGGAAGATTGGCAACAGATATTAGCTCAGGGCCAATTTTCCTCACCAAAAACTGCCCCCAAAAAACCCCTCACCCTGTGAAAGTTTCAACGAATGTGATCAAGGAGGTTTTCAAAGCAAAGCAAGGAATACAGCATCAACCCTGCAACATCCATGATGCAGATGAGCAGACGATGAAGTAAGGAGCATGGGTTTCAGTGCTGGGGTGATCTACCTAACAAGCATGTAGTATTTAAGGAACCTAGTGCAACAAACAGAGCACAAAGGACAGAGAAAATCTCCAAAAAATCTTGGCCAGATGTTTACAACAAAGAGAGGGTTGGTCTCATGTACACGCATGAGCTTCGTCTTGAAATATGGAGTGCCCAAGAAACGCTTTTAGTTCCTAGTTACTCCACAGCTATTACCAACTGTAAGCTTTATTAAGCATCATTTGTAAGTATTATCACTGTTTTCAAAAAGAACGTCTGCAAGGCTGATTAAAACATTTCCTTGCTCCTCATTTCTGGGAAGTTCCTGCCATAGTCTTTCAAAGCCAACCATACAGAATATTGCCAATGACCCACCCCAAAATCACAAGCTGGACTAAAGTCCCAGGAAAGTACAGTAGTAATCATTCCTTCTTTCTGAAAAGTACATCAAAACTTCCCCAAGGCACGATGAGCTACAGAAAGGAATTCAAAATAAAGCCGTTCCATCCTGATTACCCTTCTAAGGTATTTTGTTCTTTAAGCAAGTAAGAGGTTTCTGTTGCTCTTACATACCTTTTGGCATAATGAGACCTGAGTGAAAAGCAGAAGTTCAGAAACACTATGAGGACTTCAAATCAACCTTTAAAATATATCCAGTGTCATCAACAGTTGCTAAGTATACTGTCCGAAAACATCACGAACACATGGGTGGTCTGGTCCCCAAGCCACACCTGATCTTCTCCTTTTCCAGGTCCAAGTCATGCTTGTGTCATAAATTCAACACATTACACGATAAAAACTCAACAAAGGAGGTTAATGCTGGTGTCACAATACCACATTCCGAGTAGAGGCCAGGAAACACTTTGATTTATCATATTTTGGATTTAAAAATTCCCTGTTAAAGCCATGCAGGAAATACTTTGATACAGATCACTGAGGGTTCAGACTTCTAATTATGCATAAAACTAGAAATCCAAATCTAAAGTCTTGGCCATTCTTCAAAGTCAGCATATCACTCAATATCCAGCATTCTGCATTAATAAGATGAAAGAAGCTGAACACCAGCTTAGGCCAAGGGAATCATATAGACAAAGATTTACATTTACAATAAAAGCAGAAACCTTCCACTGTATTCTGTTATTAAAGAAGGACATGAGCCAATGACATGCTGACAAAGCAGAAAATTGAACGGAGAAGGCTGACATTTATTTTAAGAGGCTAAGAGCTGAAATTTAGGATAGAGACAAAGGAATACACAATAGAGTAAGAATCTAATTTCTAAATGACTGCCAGGCTTGGAATCAATGCAAACATTGTAGCTTCCTTTTAAAATATTTTTCTTATGATCTACAAAGATAGCATGAAAGGCAACATAATAGGGAAAAAGTCCTGCTTTTTATTTGTTGGTTGGTTTTGCTGGACTTAAACTCTGCTGTCTTCATCTGTGTGAATTTGAATAGGCTTTTTCCCTTTTTAAATTAATTTGCATTACATTCTCCTTGTAAAATTAATTACCAATACAATTAAAGACCTATTTGACACATACTTTCAATTTCAATGCCTTCTTCCACCTCTCTACTGGTAATCACTGTTAAATATTGTGTGTTTATCCTTTCAAATCTTTTTCTATGCATATCTATGAACCTAGAGAAAATACCTAAGTATGGTTGTGCATGGACTTTTAAAAAAATACAAATGGTTTCATACCAGGTGTATCTTTCTCATCTTGTTTTAGTTTTTTTTTGTTCAACAATATATTTTGAAGCTTAGTCCCACTTTAGTATATATAAATCTACTTCTTTTTTTTAATTTTTTACTGTGCATAAAATTTCAGCTTATCTAAACAATACTTTAGTTATTCTTCTTTGAAGGATATTTAGGTTGTTCACTCCTAAAGGAAAAACCTCTTGTTTTCCTCTATACTCAGTTTCTGTACTCACGACACTTCTGACACCAAATATATGGGTTTTCCACACGAAGCAATTCTCTCATTCTCAGTGGATACTAACTCAATTCTGACACTAACTACCCAGAGTTAGGACAGACACTACATGTTAAGGCTCAGTCCCACAAGACTGTCCCCTACTTTAGATGCCAACTGAAAGTCCCAGGTTGTCACCTGTATCTCTGACCAATGGGCCATAAATCGGGGGTCCCCACAACTCCTTCCTCAGGATTGATAATTTGCTAGAACAGCTCACAGAACTCATGAAAATGCTTTACTTACTATTCCCCGTTTATCATAACAAATACAACTCATGAACAGCTAACTGGAAGAGATGCACAGGGCAAGGTATGTGAAGAAGGGCCTGCAGCTTCCATGTCCTCTCTGGGCGTGCCACCCTCCTGGCACCTTGATGTGTTCACCAACCCAGAAGCTCTCCAAACCCCATTGTTTAGGGTTTTTACAGAGGTTCCATAGGCTTGATTAAATCATTGGGCATTGGTGATTGAATTCAATCTCCAGGCCTTCTCCCCTCCCCAGAGGTTGGGGAGTGGGAGCTGAAAGTTCCAATCCTCTGACCACGTGAATGGTTCCCTTGGCAACCAGACACTCCTCCTTAGTGGGTTTCCAAAAGTCACCTCATTAACATAAATTCAGGTGTGGTTGAAAGGGACTTGTTAAGATTACAAAAGATGTTCCTTTCACGTTTATGCTCTGGAGCTATTTCAGGAACAGGGGACATAACCAAAATATTAGAACAGATACTCCTATTGATCTTAGCACTTAGTAAACTAAAGTTTTAGGAGCTCTAAGCCAGGAACCAGAGATGAAGACCAAAGTACTATTTCTTATTATATCACAGTGTCACACCACCATTACAAATAACGTTGCAAAAAGCACTCCCTATATACGCTCCATCATGCACACACATACGTTTTCCAGGGTAGATTCTGAAATGTGTAATACCTAATTTAAATATTAACTGATGGTGCTAAATCACCCTCCAAAGTAGTACCAATTTATAGTTCTACCAGCAGGGTGTGAAAATAGTCCATTACTCATGGTCTCACCAATTCTTGTGATTACCAATCTTCCTTAATTTTCACAAATTTGATGAGTTGATTTTTTAAAAAATTGTATTTCCCTGAATAATAACAGAATGAATACCTTCTTGTGTATTGACACCTTCCTCTTTTATTGCTCACCAATTTCTATTCTTTTTTTTTTCTTAAAGATTGGCACTTTAGCTAACAACTGTTGCCAATCTTTTTTTTTTTCAAAGATTTTATTTTTTTCCTTTTTCTTCCCAAAGACCCCAGTACATAGTTGTATACTCTTCGTTGTGGGTCCCTCTAGTTGTGGCATGTGGGACGCTGCCTCAGCGTGGTTTGACGAGCAGTGCCTTGTCCGCGCCCAGGATCCGAACCAATGAAACACTGGGCCGCCTGCAGCGGAGCGTGTGAACTTAACCACTCGGCCACAAGGCCAGCCCCGCAAATCTTTTCTTTTATTCTTCTCCCCAAAGCTTCCCAGTACATAGTTGTGTATTCTAGTTGTGAGTGCCTCTTGTTGTGCTATGTGGGACACCACCTCAGCGTGGCCTGATGATCGGTGCTATGTCTGGGCCTAGGATCTGAACCAGCAAAACCCTGGGCCACCGAAGTGGAGCACGTGAACTTAACCACTCAGCCACGCGGCCGGCACCACCAATTTCTATTGTTTATCCACTTTGCAACTGGGCAGTTTGTACTTTTTGTTTGTTTCTTTACACATTATATCAATTTTTTGTTATGTAAAATGTAAATATTTTCCCCAGTCTCTTAATTTAATTTGTAATATTGTACTGTAAGAAAGGTTTTAATGGAGTCAAATGTATAAACTTTTTTCCTTTATGAATTTCAGTTTTCATGTCATGCTCAGGACTTTAACTAGCCCAAGGCCACAAAGATATTTTTCTACATTTTTTAAAATACTTTTACAGTCTGAATTACATCTGGGTCTTTAAGCCATCTTGAATTTATTTTTGTGAGTTATGCTTCTATTCTTTTTTCCAAATATAAACAGGCAAATTTTTAACTTCTCTGAGCCTCAGTTTCCTTAGCTATAAAATGGGGTAATAATATTTCCCTCACAAATGCTTTACTAAGATTAAGAGATTATGTTTTTAAATTGCTTAGCACAGTCTTTAGCATATAATAAATGCTTATTACATGTTAGTTGCATCTGAAAATATATTTAATATCCTTTATAATTATATTGAATATATATGAATAATTTAATAATTAATATAATATTTAACAAAACACAGGACTGTCAGCATAGATTATAAAAACTACCAGTCAGTCCAAATTGGAGAAATTCCGTTTTCATATAACAACCTCTGTGTTAGTCACCGTGGGAGCCATGGCTGCCAGACACTCGGCCTGCTCCTGGAGGACAGAGGCCCTGAAGGGCTTTAACAGCTATGGAGCGTTTATTACACAGCAGGAACTGTTGGAAGCATTATGTATGTATTCTTCCAATGACTCCTCAAAATAACCCTATCAGTTATGTATTTCTATCTCCATTTTAAAAATGGGAAATTGAGGGGCCGGCCAGGTGGCGCAGTGCTTAAGTTCGCACGTTCGCTTCGGCGGCCAGGGGTTCACCGGTTTGGATCCCAGGTGTGGACGTGGCCCTCCTTGGCAAGCCATGCTGTGGCAGGCGTCCCACATAGAAAGTGGAGGAAGATGGGCACGGATGTTAGCTCAGGGCCAGGCTTCCTCAGCAAAAAGAGGAGGATTGGCAGCAGATGTTAGCTCAGGGCTAATCTTCCTCAAAAAAAAAAAAAGGGAACTTGAGGCATGAGAGGTTAAGTAACTCTCATGAGGCTACACAGTAAGTTAGCAGTAGAACCAGAATATGAAACACGGCAGTTTGACTCAAAAGCCAGTGCTCCAGGCACAAGGCTAAGCTGCCCCAGTAAAATCCCGAGAGGTATAGTCTTCCGAACAGCAGAAGACTCCAGACTCAGAGACGTAAAGTAATTTGTCCAAAGGTCAAGATGTAGAGCAAAAGTGGTCTGACTCTACTGACCACAGTCTTTCTCTTCACGCCAGTTCCAGATGGAGGATCCCTGACTACTAAGCAGTAAATGCTAAAATGCATTGTCATGTGAACAGCAAGCATTTACTGAGTGTCTCCCACAGGCCAGGTGGTCTGCTAGAAGCCAGGGATACAGAAATCAGCAAATCACACTTGCTGCCTCCAAGTATACACAATACATTATAAAATCACAGAAGAAAGGAGCCTAAGTCAGCTGAGGACAAAATGGGCCAAGGCTGGTGAGAGAACTAAGAAGGAGTGATGTTCCGGCTGTGAAATGAGCCCAAACAGAGAGAGGTGACCTTGAGCACAGAGAAAAGAAGGGGGCATGGGAGAACACACACTATGCTGTACTAAATAATAATTCTCAACTTCCACAGATTGTAATTCTCACAGGAAAAGGCTTTCTCTGGAATAGTGAAAATGGAACAAAAAAGATGCACACAAAGAACTGTAGTATTTCAACCTAGATGGAAACTTTGACGACATTAAAGCTCGTGTGTAACTCATCCTCAGTTGGTCCTCAAATATTAACACTGGGATGTAGTGGGTACTTCTTCACAACACAGTATTCATAATATTCTTACAACAGGCAGATGACGAAAACGTGATAATAACTTATTCTACTTAAATGACAGCAGGGAAATCCAAGATAAGCCAAAATCAAAACAATTCCTCTCAAACTCAGTTCTGTTAAGAATCGTGCTGGACTTGCAATTATGGAGTCATAGAAATGAACAGAATTGTAAAGGTTATCTACTTCAATTCTTTCACTTCAAAATGAGATTGAAACGAAGAGAGAGAAAATTACTTCTCCAAAATGACATGGTCACACACAGTTGGCAAAACTCACCTATTCTGTCTTCAAGAAAGCTACAATGAAGGAACCTTTTAAAATCCATTTTATCTGAAGCTTAACAGTGATCACATGTGATCTAGCCTGAGGCTAAAAGAACACAACGCCCCTTTAAAGACACAGTTTTCCATGTTGACAAAGACTCCACACACAGAGCACACTTACTTCGTCAGTCTTTCAACAGTCTGCATGTGAGCGTTAGTGTGGGTTTGGGAAAGAACAGCTTCATGCTGAGCACATTTCAAACAAAGACCACCAACACGGTGAGAAATATTAGCAGCAAGAAGAGATTCTTTATGTTTTAGTTGCTGTTTAAGATCTTCATAATTTTTCCGATATTCAGCTAAGTCTTTCCTAAAAAGATAAGAAAATAAATTCTAGTAAATGGCGAGGTAACTATTTTCAAATGTATCATCATCATGATAACCACTACCACAACTTAGAGGTGTTTACCTTAGGACGCACTCTCCATGCAACAGCTAATTAATTCTTACCACAACCCTGAAATGCAGGCACGAGTATCCTAATTGAGATTTTGAATACAATGAGATTTGAAGATATTAAATAATTAGCCCAAGTTCTTGTAAGATTTTAACACAGATTAGCCTGTCTCCCTCTTCACAGGATCCCATCTCCATTACATTACATTACCCACAAAACAAAAAGAAAACTCCAAATACAAATCCTGAGAAGCTTCTCTTATTATATAAAGAGGTGGGGCAACATAACACAACATCCTTGAACTGAGGGAAATACCCCATTCCAAGTGCTAACCCCTTAAAATTTGTAAAGAGTACCTTAAAAGATCACAGAATGGACATGGATTTTATCCCTGAGTAGTTTATTATTGCCCATTTTTCTTCAGGAGGAAAAAACATTAAACATTTATCTAACCACAAAGTTTTATGAAGAGCTGTTTCAAAAGAGAATGGGCCACGAAAAGAATTTCTATAGAACTTGCCAGTCATAAGACTTCATAAGTAGCAGCTATTAGCTGGAAATATGCGGCTTGCTAGACAGAACTGAGAAATTGTGTGTGTGTGTGTGTTTTCTTTATTTGTTTTTACTTTGTGGGATAGTCCCTAGATGAGGTTTTTCTCCAAGTTGACTTTTTAAGGATAAAATGACTAGTGTATGAGGTCGTATTCTGCCCTCCCCCCTACCCCAAGCAAAGTTTTGGTCAAGTCAACTTGGGCAATGGAGCTTCCTTGCAGAGACATTCCTTTCCTGCTGTATAAAAAACCCTTCCTGGCTTAAAAAGGAGAAAGTTGTCCTTAAATTCTTAGACTATTGAAGGCAGACATTTTCTCTCTGGCTCAGTCTACTTTCTGTCGTCAGTTTCTACTATCCTCAGGGATCTACAGCCATCCTAACTGGCTCACTGACACAGAGGAAAAGCCAATAATCAAGACACGGGGCTGTCACACACTACCTCAACACTTGGGATTTGGGGAGGCAACCCAAGGGGAGGTGGGAAAGATCCACAGGTAATCCAAAGATTAAAGAAAGCTAACCTAAACAGTCTCAAGTTGAAAAAAAAGCCAAAAGCTGTTTTTGCCCTATACCCAAGATAATTAAGTTTTCTTTTTAAGTATCATGTAGAAAAAGTCTGACTTTTAAAGACTTTGTAAAAAGAACTTGGGAAGCATATTTCAAAGTCAAAAGGTCTCCATAACTATTTCTGTCAGTTTCAACTTCAAAACATTCAGGTAGATTTGGTTACTTGAAATGGCAAAAAATAAAAAATAAAAAGGTACCATAGAGCCAGAGTTTCTGAGACCAGTGATTTTATCTCTTTCATAAAGAAAATACCTCTTTAAATAATCTTAAATTGTACTACAAGAAAATGAAGAAACAGAAGGATGCAAGGAACAAAGTCCAGTTCATTGCAAGGTGGTATTTTAATGTAATTAAAGATGGCATATTTGAATTCTGAATAAGATTAAATAAGTCACATTCCAATAAGTATAATGACCTAGAAACACTTTACTTTAGAACTGAATAATCAAAATACGATGGAAATCAAAATACAACAAAGCAAGATAAAAAGCAAGAAAGAAAAATTAGACCTTTTTTTAAAATGTTAGTTTTGTTCATGAAAAAGTAAAAATCTCTATAGAAATCCTAAAACTAATCAGAATAAGCAATGAAAAGCATAAGAGCATATTAAAATAAATGAACAATAGCACAAGCAGTGAAAGCCACGATGCTGGTTCTTAGCATTACTCTAGTTATGTCTCTAGATGACATACGGCCTGAAGATTTTTAATTTTATTTCAAATTGTACTTATTAAAATAAAATTATAAAAAGTATTTTAAAGTTGATTTGATTTGAAAATATTTCATTACCATTATTTAAAATAACATTTCACACACAAGAAATTAATTCCTAGTATCTTTTTCTACTTCTAACACATAAAAAAATCACTAATGGTTAATCTATAATATAAAGGTTTTATCAGGATTTTTGAAAACATATCAAAAGGCATATGAAAATTTGTTACGTATGCTCAAATTCACCACATATAAAAATACTCAAACTATTGTTGCAATTTTAAAATTAGATGAATACCTACAGAGAAAAAATACTTGCTTGTACTTGGAATACTAGAGAGCTTTATTTTCACTATTTTATTTTAAAATCATAATTTCTATAAGAGCAGCTAGTAATTCTTGTTTTTATGAGAAAACAAATATTTTACAATTGATGAGGGCATACAATTTATAATTTAGCTCACAGTTCTTTGAAATGGGATTTGGAAAAGGACTTCACAATTTTATGCTCTCTTATCATTTAATAATCTGAGGAAATTTCTTCTATTGCATGCAAGATGTCATCAAGTAATGCTTTTTTTTTTTTTCTGAGGAGGACTGTCCCTGAGCTAACATCTGTGCCAATCTTCCTCTATTTTGTGTGTGGGATGCCACCACAGCATGGCTGCATGAGCAGTGTTGAGGTCCCCACCCTGGATCTGAACCTGCAAACCCCAGGCCACCAAAGCAGAGTGTGCAAACTTAACCACTATGCCACTGGGCTGGCCCCAAGTAATTCTTACATTAACTAAAACTGGGAATTCAGCAAACATTCAAATACAGTTTAAGATCATCATGCTTTTGCTATGACTTTAAATAGATGATAAGACTTTACCTCAAAAACTTCAATTGAGATTCCAGGATTTCAATCTTTTCTTCATAAGTAAGTTTTAGCGTCTCCTATAGAAAAGAAAAAAAATGTACATTTCCTCCATGTCTTGAGTTTTACAAGAAAATTTTAATTATTAATATTAAATTCAATATTTTTTTCTTTTACCCAAGAGGAAAAATAATGTGTCCTCTCAGGAAACCCCTTTCCTAGCCCATCCAAAATTTTCTGTTTATTGAGTGAATACTTGCAAAGAACTACTGTTTTTTTTTTTCAAAATTGCACCCATCAGGTCTCACTTTAAAAAGTCTGACTCTGGGAAAAACCAATTATAACCTCTAAGGTCCATGAGGGCAAGGATCAAATCTTACTGGAATCTCCCGTTGTGATTGCTGCACATTTGACATGCAATAAGTATGTGCTGGATAAATGATAAAAGTAAAGTTATACATCACATGATGATAGACCAAACTCATATACTATCTACAAGCCTCTACTGGTATCCAATTATTCTTTCAATCAACAAATATTTACTGGGTATCTAACATGAAGATGACTCTAACCTCAAGGAGCTTATATTCTAGGGAGGAAGAGACAGACAGATGAACAATTTCAATTATATATAATTTAGTCTAGTGAGGTATACAGAAGGTAAAATGAAATCAGAGAGGCAGGAACTTACAATTCAGCTGAAGAAAAGTAGACAAGCTTTCATGGAAGAAATGCTAAGACTTAATGGATAACTGCCAATATAGCAAAAGGCACAGAGGCTGGAGAAAGCATGTTTGGCCAATGAGTAGATCAGTATTGCTAGAATATAACATGCTAGGTGGAAGAGTGGATAGTGATGGGTTGAATACATAAGATTGGGACATGAGAGGCATAAAAATATTAAGATCTTTATGTAGACAACTCACATAGTCTCCACGTAGTAGAGACATTGGGTGGATTCTGAAAGCTTTTTATCAGATTTAAACATTAAGTCACTCTGAAGTGTGGAAAAGGGAGACCAATAAAGAAGTCATCACAAATACGTAGGTAAGAGAGGAGCACATGAGCAAGAGTGATCAAGCAGTACAGACAGAAAAGAAAGAATTTAGTGTAGAGCGATTTAAAAGTAAAATGACAGAATTTTATGACTGCATAGATATGAGAGAGAAAAAGACATTAAAAATAATCCTGGGTTTCTGAGTTGGGCAACCAGGCGAGTACTGGTGCTAAGGATTTTTTCAGACTGATAAAAAGGAGGTAAAACGGAATCATAAAAATATTCAACTAATTCAAAAGAATGCAGAAAAGAGGAAAGGGGGAAGAAAATAAGAGATGGGAAAAAAAGAAGCCAAATAGCAAGACAGCGGATTTAAACCCAAGTGTATAAATAATCATAGTTAAAAATTAGATATTGTTGGATTGGATAAAACAGCAAAACTCAGCTATATGTTGTCCACAAGAAACCCATATAAATATGAAGATATAAATATGTTAAAAGTAAAAGGATAGAAAAAAAATAAACCATATTAACACTAATCAAAAGAAAGTGGAGGTCACTCAAAATACAAAAACCACGTGCTTTTCTCTACACCAGTAATGAGGGTTTAGAAAATGAAAATTAAAAAAAGTATGTCATTTATATAACATCAAAAATAACTGATCTGGAAATAATTCTAATGAAAAATGTGTTAAGACCTTTATTCATAAAACTATAAAAGGTTATTGCCAAAAATTAAAGATAACCTACATAAATGTAGTAATATGTAAGTTTAAAGAATTAGATGATATAATAAAGATATAAATTCTCATCCAAATGACCTATAGCTTAAGGACAATCTCAATCAAAATCCCATAATGTCTTTTGGGAACTTGGTAAATTAATTCTAAAATGTACTTGGAAATGCAAAAGGCCAGAAATGGTCAGGACACTCTTGAGGACAAAGAACAATGTTGGAAGACGTGGTCTACCATATACAGGGCTATAACAATCAAGACAGGATAGCAGGAGCACAAAACCAAGGAAATAAAACACAGAGCCCAGGAACAGACTCACACGTATACGGACACCTGAGTTATGACAAAAGTGGAAGACCAAGGATTGTCTTTTCAACAAATGGTGCTGGGGTATATAAATAATCATATGGGAAAAGAACAAAAGGTGGCCCCTTACACTTCACATCATATACAAAAATTAATTCCAGGTAGACTGTATATCTAAATGTTACCAGTAAGACTATAAAGTTTCTAGAAGATAACATAGGAGAATATCTTTATGATCTTGGATAGGGAAACACTTTTTATATAGGACACAAAAAGCACTAAACAAGAAAGAGAAAAAACTAATAAATTGGACTAAATTAAAATTAAGAAATTCTAGTCAAGAAAGAGAGGGAGAGACACAAAGAGCGAAAACTATCAAGAGAGTTATAAGGCAAGCTACAGAGTGGGAAAATACACTTAAAACAGATATAACCAACAAAAGGCTTGTATCCAGAATATGTAAAGAGTTTCCAAAAGACAACATCAGATAACTCAAAAATAATGAGTAGGATATTTGAACATGCACCTCATAAAAGAGGACATCAAATGCTCAACAAATACATGAAAAGATATTCAATCACATAAGTAATCAGAGAAATCCAAATGAAAATCACAGTGAGATAGCACTACAAGCCCGCCAGAAAACTGAGAAATCACGTGTTGGCAAGGATACGAAGTGATGGTCTGACTCACAAGCTGCTGGTCCAAGTATAAACTGATGAAATCCACATTGGAAAAGTTTGCCTTTATCTACTCAAGCAAGACTATATACATACTCTAAGACCAACAATTCCACGCCAAGGTACATATCCAGTATAAATGTGTGTAACGCACACAAATAGACATATACAGAATGTTCATAGCAGTAATATTCACAGTAGCCTCAAACTGGAAACAATACAAATCTCCATCAACAATAGAATAGATAAATAAATTGTGGTATATTCATACTGTAGACCCACCAATGAAAATGAACAAACTTCTGCCACAGGCACAACATACATGAATCTAACAAACACAAAGTTGAACAAAAGAATACATTCTATGGGGCCGGCCCGGTGGCGCAGCAGTTAAGTGCGCACGTTCCGCTTTGGCAGCCTGGGGTTCACCAGCTTGGATCCCGGGCGCGAACATGGCACTGCTTGGCAAGCCATGCTGTGGTAGGCATCCCACATAGAAGGTGGAGGAAGATGGGCACAGATGTCAGCTCAGGGCCAGTCTTCCTCAGCAAAAAGAGGAGGATTGGCAGCAGATGTTGGCTCAGGGCTAATATTCCTCAAAAAAAAAAAAAAAAGAACACATTCTATGTGATTCCATTTACAAAATGTTTAAAAAAACAGGCAGAAATCAACCAGAGTGTTTAGAGGCCATGCTTAGGCGATTTTCATAGAAGTCAAGATAGTGATCAGCTTTGAGGGAATGAGGGGGCAGTGATTGGGAGGGCATGAAGAGAGCTTCTGGGACATGGCAATGTTACACATCGTACAGGTGATGATTACACAGGTGGGTATTTGGAGATGAATCACCAAGCTGTAAATTTTTATTTTGTGCACTTTTATGAATGTATGTTAAATCGAGTCATTAGAAAAGTTAAAGGAAGATGGCATGATCAACTCATGTACATATTATAGAATGCTCCTAAGGTTCAGGAAGGTGAGGCCTGGTATGTGGAGGTCATTAATGAACTGGAAAAGAACAGGTTTGGGGAATATGGGGGGTAAAAGCTCAATTGAAGCATGCTGAAGAGAGAATGGGAAGTGAGGAATGGAGATGTGAATATAGACAACTGTTTGGACAGGCTTGAAGGGGAACAACAGTTGGGTGATAGTTCGAAGGGAATGTTGGGTCAAGAGAATATATTTTGTGTTTGTTTGCTTTAAGATGGGAGCTAGTAAAGCATGTATTCTATTGAGAATAACCCAGTCAAGAAGGAGAAAAAACACAAGAGCAAGAGGAGATAAGTGCAAGAGAGAAATCCTTGAAAACAGTGAGAAAGATTTGGGACATAGAGCACACAGAGGCAGGGATTGACTTTTGACACAAACAGGATAAAAGTGCATCTATAACAATCATCTACACAACAAGAAGAGAGAAATTAATTCTAAAGTGGGACAAGGAGGAGGGAAAGCACATAACCAGGGAAGGTGGAATGGGAGGGGGCATTTGAACTAAGCCATGTAGGCTGGAAACATTTAGACACACAGAAGACAAGAAGGAAACATTTTGGGTCGGGGTAATTACATAAACCAAAGCCAGTTATTCAAAGAGAAATGGAAGTGGGTCATAAGTCTATGAAGTAGCAAGTAGTGAGTGGTTGGTGTGCCTCCAGCTAATGTCTGTAACAACGACAGCAGAATGAGCAGTGAGCCTGGAAAGGTGGTTGGAGACGAAGTGTGGATGGCCTGGGAGACCGGTCTTTACCCTAGGAGTACTAAATAGCTGTCATAGATTATGTGGCTGAAAACAACTGCAATTTATTTAGTCTTTCAGATTTTTTTTAAAAGAAAGGAACTCTCTCCCAAATAGTAGAATAAAGCTTGGATTAGGGACCGAGAAAGGGGAGGGAGATTGGGGCCAGAAAGAACCTTTAGAAAACTATAACAATAACACTTGTATATGATAATGAGAGCTGAATGAATTCATTCTCTTTTCCCCTGGAATACTCCATTTATAGTATTATTTTTACATTTTCATCATTATTGATCAATTCTGCCATGTCAAATTTAATGCAAATAAGACTTCAAGTTAATAAGAGGAAAGAAAAGGTCTGTTTGTTACACAGATCAAAGGATTTAACAGTATCATTTGATCTTAAAATAGAATTACTTCAGACTCTTTGGGAAATGAGGCCATTCAAAAGTAGATGTGTAAACAGGGGAATTTAGAAAACCACAAGCATGCCCAGGGAAGTCACAAGCTCAGAAAAGTCCTGAGGAGGCCTTCAGCTTTGAGCTGGGCTGATCTCTTGGCTCAGAGCAAGCCTGGGCACATGGTCAAGGAACGTCCCAGCACCAAGCCAACCTGCAAAGACTGGCAAGGGGGTTGTCCTATCTTTTGGGGGTCTTTTACGGTGATTGTTGTTTGTTTGTTTCAGCTCCTGGTGTTGAAGGAAATCTTTGTCAAACATAAGTTGAACATGAGCTAATGAAACAGAGACTTCAGTGATCACACATGACAAGGAACAGTCTTTACGAAGACAGTTGGGAAAAGTCTCAAAACAGAAAGGACTATGACTGCCTTCAGCAATAAAAAAGAGAGCAAATCTTGGGTAAAATGGGGTATCTGATTTCCAGAGTTACCACACCATAATAGTTTAGTTCAATACCCAATTTTCAACAATAATAAAAAGTCACAAAGCAAAAAAAGAAACAGGAAGACATGGCTCATTCAAAGGAACAAAATAAATAGAAATCATCCTTAAGAAACTATAGACGTCTGACTGACTTAACAAAAACTTTAAAACAACTGTCTTTAAAATGCTCAACGAGCTAAGAGAAAACATGGACAAAGAACTAACAGAAACCAGGAAAACAAATTATAAAAAGTACCCAAACAGAAATTTTGAAGCTGAAAAGTACAGTAACTGAAATGAAAAATCTACTAAAGGATTCAAGAGCAGATTTAAGCAACATAACAAAGAACCAGTATACTTAAAGATAGTAAGATTGAAATGATTGTGTCTGAGGAGCAGAAATAAAAAAGAATGAGGAATTACTATACAATCCAAAAATTCCATTTCTGGGTGTATACCCAAAAGAACTGAAAGTAGGGACTCCTTGTGCATCCATGTTCATCGCAGCCTTGTTCACAAGAGCCAAAAGGTGAAAACAATCCAAAAGTCCATCAACAAATGAATGGATAAACCAAGTATGGTATGTACATACAAGGGAACATTATCTACCTTGAAAAAGGAATTAAACTATGATATGTGCTACAACATAGATGAACCTTGAAAACATTATGCTAAATAAAATGTGCCAGATACAAAAGGACAAATATGGTTTGAGTCCACTTAGGTCAGGTCCTTAGAATAGGCAAATTCATACAGACAGAAAGTAGAAGAGGTTACCAGGGATTGGAGAGAAAGGGGAATGGGAGTTATTGTTGAATGGGTACAGAGTCTTGTTTGGGATGATGAAAAAGTTCTGGAAATGGATAATGTTGATAGTTGCACAACATTGTGAATGTACTTAATACAAATTAATTGTACACTTAAAATGATTAAATGGTAAATTTAAAAATCGTTAAAATGCTAAATTTTACATTATGTGAATTTACCATGATAAATAAAAGTAGAAAAAAAAGGAGATGCATAAGAGAAAAGCCCCCGAACACTTACCAGTTCTAGCTTCCATTTTTCAGCTTCATCAGCAGATGCAGCTTCGGTAATATCTGCATTGCCATGGGAAAATGGTTTCTTGGCAGCTTCATCCACTCCAGAATCGTTACCCACTGTAATCCAAGAATTCTGCATGTTTCCCTGAATTAAAACGTGCCAGTAATTGCAATCGACTTTTACCTTTAAATCAGTATGCATGCTTTACAAATGGAAAACTGATTCTTATCTGTGATGAAAGGAATTAAAAAAGCAGATGCTTCTAACTACAGATCAAGAATCATTTTACATTTTCAGGCTATTAGGGTCATATTCCACAACAAGTGTTCCAAGTCAAATTCCTACAGGTGCAGGCAATAATGTAAAGAGCAAAGACCACTGGATGTCAGTGTATTCAACAAATAACCTCTTACTCCACTGAAGACATTCTTGAAACAAGACATATTCTTGAAACACAGAGCCCTCTCTTGGTTTGTTCATTTTCCACATTTCATAAAGGCATTACTAATAATAAAAATTGTTAATACATATGGTGTTTATTATGTGCCAGACACTGTTTATCATGCTTCACATATATCAACTCAATCATTATAACCACCCTATGAGATAAGCTTCATTGTTATCTCCATTTTATAGATTAGGAAACTGAGTCACACAGTAACTGGCTGAGTCACAGAAGTATGAAGTGGCTAACAAGTGGCAGAGCTAGACCTGAACCCTGGTAGTCTGGCTCCAGAGTCAGAGCCAGAGTCCCTAAACTAATATGGTCTTCTGCCTTTCCAGAAAAATATTTATCTTCAATAACAAAAACATGGGGCCGGCCCGGTGGTGCAGCAGTCAAGTGCACACGTTCCGCTTCAGCGGCCTGGGGTTCACCGGTTTGGATCCTGGGTGCGGACATGGCACCGTCTGGCAAGCTACGCTGTGGTAGGCATCCAACGTATAAAGTAGAGGAAGGTGTGCACGGATGTTAGCTCAGGGCCAGTCCTCCTCAGCAAAAAGAGAAGGATTGGTGGCATATGTTAGCTCAGGGCTAATCTTCCTCAAAAAAACGAAACAGAAAGAAAAACAGTGCATGGTGATAAACAGAAGTGACATGCAGTCTGCACGTCAGGGATTCAAAAAGGAGGGGTAGGGACCAGGACACACCATCCAAAGGAAAGTGCTTTAGTCTAATTGCCACTTTGTTCTTTCACAGATAGCTTTTAAAAACTTGAATGGTATTTGACCAAGATTTTAAAAAAATCTAATTATATTTACATCCCTGAAGGTCACTGAAAATCTTTTATTTCTTAATTGAGGGGAGGGGTTGGTAGTGGAGGGGATGAAAATGGACATGGGAAGAAATGGCTCAGAAATTTTCTACTTAAAAAAAAAATCTCCTCAATCTTTGAATGAGTACACATGCCAAAATTTCTAATAAGCAGCATATTTTAATATTATTATAATTTTTGAACTCTCAAGAGAAGGCTTCCATGAAGAGAAATTTTATAACAAGGAAAAGTAATGAAAAATTAAGATAAAATATTCTTTGAATTGTTTTAATTTTTAAAAAATAGTCTTCTTGCTTCTTCAACCGCTAGATCATCAATTAGGCTAAAAGCTCAAAGCCATGTAGGCTACCATCCAATTTCAGGGCAAAAACCCAACAGTAAAGAGGAAGCTCTTCCCTTTTGTGCTGGGGGACAAACTTCCATCCTCGGGCAAACAAAGACGGTTTGGTTCAGTATTGACAAGCTATTCGTAATTTACACAGAAAGCAATATAATTCAAAGCTAGTGGATGGATTTGGGGAGTCAGACAGTCCCATGTTTGAGTCCTAGCTTTACTATTTTCAGCTTTGTGACATTAGACCAGTTACTCTGGTTACTTAACCCCTGTGTACCTTAATTTACTCATCTGAAAATAAACATAACACCTGCCTTGTGTGGCTATTTAAAATTGAAGTAATATAATGTAAATAAAGTGCTTGACACAGTGCCTGGCACAGCATAACCACACAGTTATCAATAAATATCAATTATTTCTATATGACTTTTAATTATTTTTAAAAAGAAGGGATTAAGGGTCAGCCCCATGGCCGAGTGGTTAAGTTCACACACTCCGCTTCGGCAGCCCAGGGTTCTGCCAGTTTGGATCCTGGGCACAGACCTGCCACTGCTCAGCAGGCCATGCTGAGGTGGCATCTGACATAGCAGAGCCAGAAGGACCTACAACTTGAATACACAGCTATGTACTGGGGAGCTTTGGGGAGAAGAAGGAGGAAAATAAAAAAAGAAGATTGGCAACAGATGTTAGCTCAGGTGCCAATCTTTAAAAAAATAAAAACAAGGCATTAAGAAACACTGCAAATCTATATTCCAACCCGCCAACAGCTTTGGAAAGATTTACCACCAACATAGTAAGAGACTCATTAAAAGGAGTTCAGAAGAAGAAAGGAAGACAATATCTCGTGATCTGTTTATATTTAAGATACTCTAAAAAGTGGTATTCATGTTAAAACTCTCAACACAGCACCATGCTCGGTTGCTGAAACGCCTGAATTCACCTACACAAGCACAAAGCAGGGGTAACCATTCTGCAACAACAAAATAACAGAGGACTAACATTAACACAGAGCTCAAGGTCACCTGCCACATCTGCAACAATCATTTCGAATTTGCATTATATTTTAGCTTATGTGAATGTTTTTCAAAAAAACAAAACCTCTCTACAATTTTGTTCTTTCTATAATCCAGGCTGCAATTCTTTTGCAAGTTTTCTTTGTTCATAAGGCAGAGCCGGAGTGCTCGCTCTTCCCATCATTTCCTTCCCCTTCTGTGTTACTCACTTCTCTTGCCCCCTGATTCACTTGTCTGCCTAATTTCCTCTCTCGCTTCACTTCCCCTTCTTCCACTTCTTTGCCATTGTATAAATACTGAAGACCATGCATAATTGAGTCACTGTTTGCTAACGGACTACACATTTGGAAGAAAAGCAAAAGAATGTATTTATTTTAAAAAGAGCTAATTCTAAGTCCTTTTTATATGGTTAGATTGTCTTCAAGTTCACATTAATAAGCAACTAAGATGGAATTTTTTTTTTTTAAAGATTGGCCCTGAGCTAACATCTCCTGCCAATCTTCCTCTTTTTTCTTTCTTTCTCCCCAAAGCCCCAGTCCATAGTTGTATATGATAGCTGAAGGACCTTCTAGTTCTTCTATGTAGGATGCCACCTCAGCATGGCCTGAGGGGCAGTGCTAGGATCCGAACTGGCCAACCCTGGGCCATTGAAGCAGAGTGCGTGACCTTAACTACTGGGCCACAGGGCCAGGCCCCTAAGACAGAATTTTTAATTACTAATATTAATAATATAATATAAATATTCAGAAAAATTATAGAGTGAAGGGAAAATAGCTCATCACTAACTGAAATGTAATTGCAGAAAAATAAACTGAAATACTAATCAGCCTGTTTTATTGTTCAGAGTTAAAACAATGACTACTCCTAAATAGCAAACTTGAACACATAGAACTCAAGGATTACAAATGAAACATCAGGTCAGGCAACTAAAAACACTTCAGAAACAAAAACTAGAAGACACTTAGTTAAAACATTAAGACACTCATATTTTTCTTAACTGATTTACTAATGATGACTAATTCAAAACCAGCAAAATTCTTTGCAAAGCAAAGCTGCAACAGGCAAGTATTGAAACTTCCGCATAGAAAGCTGAATTTGTCTCAAAAAGCAGAACAAGCTGTGAGTAAGTGTGTCTTACAGCAAAAGAGTGAAAAACATTTTTAAGGCAAAAGTATTTCTGACAAGCCATAGGAGGTATGGAGTTTAAACACTATTTAAATGTCACCATAAGAATTCTGTGTCATAGAATTCTAGAGCTCACCTAATTCACTGTTCTTCAAAATGTGGTCCACTAATTTTAGAATCACTTAGGTGACTTTTTAAAAATTCATATTTTTAACTCAAGGACTCAGCCCAGACTCATGGAATCAGCCTCTCAGGGGATGGAGCTCAGGAATCTGCATGCCAACAAGTATCCCAAGTGACGGCTAATCACCTTAAAGATTAAGAACTGCTAACAGAGGCGAATCTTCTCAAATCGCCAATAAACAAACAGGACACGTGAGGTTAAGCCATGTTTGAAAGCCCTATAAAATTACTTGCTAACCACCCAGCTTGTTAGGGACAATGGGAAGACTAACATTTTGATTCTTGGACCCTAGGGCCAGTGTTCTTTCTGCTACACCATGCAGCTAATTAGACTTATGGAATTCAGAGCTCAAGGAAAATTCAGAGAAATACACAGAAATTTAGGCTACAGTTTCTGGACTTAACAAAGTCTTTCCTATATAGCATACTTGCTGCTTTCAGTCTTGCTCTTTCCATATGGAAAAAACATAAATGGTATGCTCAGAGAGGAAACCAGCGTAGATATGGGCATCACTACATCATTTCATTTGAGGGCTCATGCCACCAGTGAATTTTAACTTTTGAGGTCCCAAGTGAATACCAGCATAGTACTTTTGCCAAACTTCAAGGAGAGAATCTAAGCAGTTCAGAAGGCTGGAGGAGAGGGTAGGAGGGAACATTCAAACTAAAACATAATTGATGGTTTTAAAAAACGCTCACAGATGCATCCAGAAGCGTTTGTTCCCTCATTGCCTCCTCTTGTCTTTGAGATTTCAGCTGTCGTTGGAGACTTTCATTTTCAAGCACAACTACTTGTATCCTATTTTTCATTCCAGAGAGTTCCTCCTAAAAAAACAGAAACAAATAACCAATACATTAAGCATTTTTAAGCAGTGCTCTTACTGGGTGATGAGAGGATCCAACATGATACAAAGCAGGCAAGGCTCACACTCTCTACCCACTTTCTGAGATATTATAACTCTATGTAGACAAACAAAGCAACTCAAATGTTAGCCAACAAACTGAGAGCAGGCCGGGGGAAGGTAGGAGAAGGCCTGCTAATGGCCACACTACAGAAGTGTGTGGTTTCTGACAAATTTTTTATAGGCTTATAGAAAGGCTTTAATTAAAGGGGTTCCCTAAAAGACTGTTAAGAATGAGGTTGACTGCTGAATAATAAGGAAAGATATATCATTGCTCATGCTCAAACGCCAATCACTTGTTGAAAATTGACAGAGGACTAAACAGATAATAGAGGACTCTGGGAAGAAAGGCATGCAAAGGTACAATGATCATTTACGAACTGGTAGCCAGACGGCAGGAAATTATGACTGAAGCCGTTCGGTGAAGAGTTCTGAAAGCACATTTCCTTGGCCTTGCAGGGTGTAATATAAGGAATTACAGACAAACAACAATTGGAATAGCTATTGAGTGGCATTTCAGTCTCTGAAAGAATGTTTAAATATATCAATATATTGATGGTACAGTACTTAATCTTAATCACCAGTGTAATCAAAAACTACTATGTATTACCCATCTTCCTTGACTTATGATGGAGTTACATCCCGATAAACCCATCATAAGTTGAAAATATTAAGTTGAAAATGCATTTAATACACCTAACATACCAAACATTGCAGCTTAGTCCAGGCCACCTTAAATGTGCTCAGCTCATTTACGTTAGCCTGCAGCTGGGCAAAATCATCTAACGCAAAGCTGATTTTACAATAAAGTGTTGGTTACATCAGGAATTTACTGAACACTGTACTGAAACTGAAAAGCAGAATGGTTGTATGAGTACGGAATGGTTGCAAGTGTATGGGTTGTTCACCTGCATGATGAGAGGACTGACTGGGAGCCGCAGCTGCCCAGCATCACGAGAGAGCATCTTGTCACACGTCGCTAGCCCAGGAAAAGATGAAAGTTCAAAATCCGAATTATAGTTTCTACTGAATGTGTATCACTTTTGCACCATTGTAAAGTCAAAAAATCATAAGTTGGGTACTGTCTGTATATGCAAGTTCTATTCAATTTTTTTCTTCAGAAAAAAAAACAAAGCTGTAATTAAAAGCTATGACTAAAAAAATATTGCAGACTTCCAATTTTTGATATGGCTTATAATGAGCTTGGAAGACAGTACTCCCATCTTAACAACAAGAAAAAAGCTGAACAAACTGAAAAACTACTATCCCCAAAATTGGAGAGACAGACAAGTGTTCCTGAGAATCACAACCTACCAGAGCGGAAACTTCCAGGGCAATCTGTGATGGGGTAGGAAAACGTAAAGTATAATTGATGAAATGCTGGGAGCTCCGTGTAGACAAGTTTGAGGGGTAAAAACTCCAGAAGGACCCAATCGTAAGGGGGCTCCTACACTTTTTGTGAGTTTTATCTGTAGGACACCACCAGGTTCTTACAGCAAAGACTACAGAAAAATCCCCTCATACTTCCTCTAGTAGGAGAGGAAAAGTAGCTATTATGAAACATGTCCAAAACATTCTCTTCTTCTTAACAACGTCTGCCTTAAGAGAAACTATTTTACCAGAGGCTAAATAACTGGGAGTTTTTAGAATCTAACTGACCTAGGACAAGGGAAATACCCAACTCCAGCTCCCTCTAGCCTTCTGGTCTCACTTAAGGGGAGGGGAAGACTGAGAAACACTTGTGAGGGTCATAGCCAAGGGGCACAGGCCCACTAAAAGACAGAGACCTAATTACAGGACTACAGAACACTTCCTGTACTCCTACACCTTACTACCACATCAAATTCCCCTGTTACTATATAGTGAGTATATATACTATATACTATATATAGTGAGTATATAGTAACAGGGGAATACACGAAAATAACTGTACATCTCAGACTATATTTAAGAAGAACTTTTGAGGGAAGTCTAAAGACAAGAGGAGAGACAAAAACCAGGACCCTACATGAAATTTTTGCCTCTGATACCTATAGTAATAGCAAACAGTAAACATAGCTTCACTCCTACCCAGATAAACATAAAACTTCATACTAAATGTCTATTTCCCCCAGTTCCTTTTACTCATTACATCACTGCAGCATTCAACAGAAAATTAGAAGGCATACTAAAAGACTTAAAACACAGTTTAGAGAGACTAAGCAAGCATAGAACCAGACTTGGATATGGTAGAGATGTTGGAATTATCAGATTTGGAGTTTAAAATAACTATGATTAATATGCTAAAGAGTCTAATGGAAAAAGTAGACTACATGCAAGAACAGATGGGTAATGTAAGCAGAGGGATGGAAACTCTAAGAAAGCATCAAAATGCTGGAAATCAAAAACACTGTAACAGAAATGAAGAACATCTTTGGGGGCCAGCCCGGTGGCACAGCGGTTAAGTGCGCACATTCCGCTTCGGCTGCCTGGGGTTTACCAGTTCGGATCCCGGGTGCGGACATGGCAACGCTTTGCACACCATGCTGTGGTAGGTGTCCCACATATTAAAAAACGTAGAGGAAGATGGGCACGGATGTTAGCTTAGGGCCAGGCTTCCTCAGAAAAAAGAGGAGGACTGGCAGTAGTTAGCTCAGGGCTAATCTTCCTCAAACAAAAAAAAAGAATATCTTTGAAGGGCTCATTAATAGACTGGACACAGCCAAGGAAAGAATTAGTGAGCTTGAAGAACTGTCAATAGAAACTTCCCAAACTAAAACACAAAGAGAAAAAAGAATGTCAACGACAGAAAATAATATCCAAGAATTGTGAGACAGTCACAAAAGGGGAAGAAAGAGAAAAGAGAAGAAGAAATATTTGAAGCAATAATGACCAAGAATTTTCCAAAATTAATGATAAGCACCAAACCACAGATGTAGGAAATTCAGAGAACACCAAGCAGAATAAAACCAAAAAATCTACACCTAGGGATATCATTTTCAAACCGCAGAAAATCAAAGACAAAGAGAAAACCTTTAAAGAAGTCAGAGTAAAAAAACCTTACCTATAGAGAAGTAAGGATAATAATTGTATCAGACTACTCTTCAGAAACCATGGAAGCAAGAAGAGATCTAACACATAAGAGTTTGCTCAACATCATAATAGCAAAAGTATATGTACCGATTTCAGCTGGTGGATAATTAAAATGAATGACAGCAATGTTATAAGACACAAGAGGTAGATATTGGGAATACTCTGTTATAAGAAACTTGCCCTACCCTTGAGGTGGTGTAGTGCTATTTGAAAATAGACTTAGATTAGTGGTAAACGTAAGTGCAAACTCAAGGACAACCACTTCTAAAAGTAAAAAAAGAAGTTCAATTGATATGCTAAGAGAGGAGAAAAAAATACAACCATATAACATGCTCACTTAAAACCAGAGATGGCAGAAAAAGAATAGAAGACAAAGAAACAAAGAAAGAAAAGAACAAGGGAAATGAAAGCAGTAACCAATATGGTAGATATTATAGACACTCAACTATATCAATAATCAATTTAATGTCCATGGTCTGAATACACCAATGAAAAGACAGAGACTGTCAGAGCGAATAAAAAACAAGACCCAAGTATACGTTATCTACAAGAAGCCCACTTCAAACATAAAGATACAGATAGATTAAAAGTAAAGGGATAGATACAGACAAACCATGCTAACATAAATTGAAAGAAAGCTGGAGTAGCTATACTGACTTCAGTCAAAGTAGACTTCATAGCAGGGCAAAATATCAGGGATAAAAAGGAGCATTACATATTGATAAAGGGGTCACTTCTCCAAGAAGACATAATAATCCTTAATGTGTAAGTGCCTAACAACAGAGAGTCAAAACACGTGAGGCAAAAACTGATAGAACTACAAGGAAAAATAGATGAATCCACTATTTCAATTGGAGATTTCAACACTCCTTTATCAGGGATTGACAAATCCAGCAGATCTGGCAGATTGGCAAATTATCAGTAAGGACATAGTTGAACTGAACTGCACCTTAATCAACTAGATCTAATTGACATTTACAGAATACTTTATCCAAGAACAACAGAATACACATTCTTCTCAAATTAACACAGAACATTCAACAAGACATACCACATTCTGGGCCTAAAAACACATGTTAACAAATTAAAAAGAATAGAAATCAAAAAAAGTATGCTTTCAGACCACAATAAAATTAAACTAGAAATTGATAACAGAAAGAGCTAGAACACTCCCAATATACTTGGCGATTAAACAACATTCTTCTAAATAACATACAGGTCAAGGTCAAAGTCTCAAGAAAAATTTAAAAATACCTTGAATTAAACAAAAATGAAAATACAACTTATCAAGATTTGTGAGATGCAACAAAACCAGTGGAAAACATTCAAAAAGATTCCAAATCAATAATCTAAGCTTCAGTCTTAGAAAAAAAAGAGTAAATTAAATTCAAAGTAAGCAGAAGAAAAGATATAATAAAAAGTAGAGTAGAAATAAATGAAATTAAAAACAGGAAATCAACAGAGAAAAGCAACAAAACCAAAAGCTGGGTCTTTGAAATGATCAATAAAATTAAGACTCTAGCAAGACTAAGAAAAAAAGAGAGAACACACACATTACTAACATCAGAAATGAAAGAGGGCTCACCATGGACATTAAGAGAATCATAAAGGAATACTATGAATAACTCTACACCCATCAATTTGATAACCTAGAAAAAATGGACCAATTCTTTGAAAGACAATACCAAAACTCACAGAAAGAGAAATAAATAATCTGAATAGGCCTATATCTATTAAAGAAAATGAGTTAATAGTTAGGAATCTTTCAAAACAGAAAGCACCATGCCCACCATTCGTTCACTGATGAATTCTACCAAACATTTAAGGAACAAATTATACCAATTCTCTACAATATCTTCCATAAAATAGCAGATGGAATACTTCCTAACTCATTCTATGAGGCCACTACCCTCATACCCAAACCAGGTGAAGACAGTACAGGAATGGAAAACTACAGACCAATATATCTCATAAAAACCCAGATGCAAAAATACTCATCAAAATATTAGCACATCAAAGCCAACAATGCATCAAAAGAATTATACAACAGAACCAAGTGAAATTTATTCTAGGTATACAAGGCTGGTTCAATATTTGAAAATCAATTAATGTAATCCATCACATCAATAAGCTAGAAAAGAAAAATCATATGATCATATCAATAGATGCAGAACAAGTGACAAAATCCAGTAGCCATTCAAGATAAAAACTCTTGGCTAACTAGGAATAGAGGGAAGCATCCTCAATTTGATAAATAACATCAACAAATAATGTATAGGTAACATGATACTTAATGGTGAGACAATAGATGCTTTCCCACTAAGATCAAGAAAAATGCAAGGATGTCTCCTCTCATCACTCCTATTCAATGTCATACCAGAAGTCCTAGCTGATGCAACAAGACAAGAAAAGGAAATAAAAGCTATACATATTAGAAAGGAAGAAATTTAAAAAAGATATCCATCTTTGCTCAGAGGTGACATGATTGTCTATGAAGAAAATCGCAAAGAATTAAAAACTGCTAGAATAAGTGATTATAGTAAGGTTGCAGATTACAAGACTAATATACAAAAGCCAACTGTTTTCTTATATATTAGCAATGAATAATTGGAACTTAAAATTAAGAACACAATACCATTTATGTTAACACCAAAAAAAATGAAATACTTAGGTATAAATCTCAAAAAAATATGTACAAGACCTATATGAGGAAAACTGTAAAACTCTAATGAAGAAATCAAGGAATATATAAATAAATGGAAAGAGAGTCTACGTACATGAATAGGAAGACTCAATATTGTCAAGATGTCTGTTCTTCTCAACTTGATCTATAGATTCAACATAATACCAATCAAAATCCCAGCACGCTATTTTGTAGACATTTACAAATTGATTTTAAAGTTTATATAGAAAGGAAAAAAACCCAGAATAGCCAACACAATATTGAAGAACAAAGTTGGGGGGTTGATACCACCTGACTTCAAGACTTACTATAAAGCTATAATAAACAAGACAGTGTATTATTTGAGAAAGAATAGACCAATAGCTCAATGGAACAGAATAGTGAGCCCAGAAATAGACTCACACAAACATAGTCAATCGATCGTTGACACAGGAGTAAAGGCAATTCAGTGGAGATGGTCTTTTCAACAAATGATGCTGAGACAACTGAATACCCAAATGCAAAAAAGAATCTAGACACAGACCTTACACCTTAGACAAAAATTAACTCAAAATGGAGCACAGATCTAAATGTAAAACACAAAATTAGAAAATACCTAGAAGAAGACTAGAGGAAATACTGGTGACTTTGGGTTTGGCAATGATTTTCAGATATAACATCAAAAACACAATTCATGAAAGAAAAAAATGGATGTTAGCCTTCACTAAAATCAAAAACTTCTGCCCTGTGACAGACACTGTTAAGAGAATCAAAAGATAAGCTACAGACTGGGAGAAAAGGACTGAAAAATACATATCTCATAAATGACTGGTATCCAAAATATATAAAGAACTCTTAAAATCAACAATAAGAAAATTAACAACCTGACTTAAAAATGGGCAAAGGACCTAAACAGATACTTCATCAAAGAAAGAATATAAATGGAAAATAAGTATATGAAAAAAATTTTAAACATTATATGTCACCAGGGAATTGAAATCAAAACAACACTAAGATACCACCACATAGATCTAATAGGCTAAAATCCAAAACACTGACAAAACCAAATGTTGGCAGGGATGTAGAGCATCAGGAACTCTTATTCACTGCTGGTGGGAAAGCAAAATGGTACAGCCACTTTGGAAGACAATCTGGCAGCTTCTTACAAAGCTAACATACTCTTACCATGTGATCCAGCAATTGTCCTTCCTGGTAATTATCCAAATGACTTAAAAATTTATGTCCATGCAAAAACCTGCACACAAATGTTAATAGCAGCTTTATTCAGAGTTACGAAAACTTGGAAGCAAGCAAGATGTCCTTCGGTGGGTGAATGGATAAACAAACTATGTTATATCCATACAATGGAATATTATTCAGCAATAAAAAAAAATGTGTTATTAAGCCATAAAAAGACACAGAGGAACCTTAAGTGCATATTACTAAGTCAATGAAGGCAATCTGAAAGGCTACAAGCTGTATGATTCCAACTCTATGACATTCTGGAAAAGGCAAAACTAGCAGACAGTGGTTGCCAAGAGTTTGGCAGGTAGGGAAGGAGGGACAAATAGTGAGCACAGATGATTTTTAGGGTAGTGAAACTATTCCGTATGCTACTGTACTGATGGATACATGTAATTATACATTTTTCAAAACCTACAGAATGTACTCCACAAAGAGCGAACACTAACGTAAACTGTGGAATTTAGTACACGATAATGTAATAACACTAGTTCATCAATTGTAACAAATGTACCACACTGATGCATGATGTTAGTAACAGGAGAAACTGTTGGGGAGGTATTAAAGGGAATATATGGGAACTCTATGTACTTTCCATTAAGTTTTTCCATAAACTTAAAATTGATCTAAAAGGCAGTCTATTACTTAAACTAACTAATAAAATATTTCTAAGACCTTAAACATTACTTCATTCTGTTACTCCCTTGTTAAAATGTATTAAATTTACACTCTGCCTGATTTTCAAGGCTTTTCAAATTTACCAGCTCAGCACTATTTTAATTATTTCTAAGAGACATCTCCCATTGCAGGAATTTAGAATAGCTGCCTCATGGCCCCCATAATTAAACCATGTTCATCCTGCATATATCCTTTCATTGTTGCTGTTCTCTCTATGAAGTTCTTTCATCTCCCTTCTACTGACCTAAATGATCCTACTCCTTTAAGATTTTCCTCTCTCACAGTAACATCCCCGAAGACACTAGCTTTTCATAACCTTCTTCTCTTATTGGAATTATAGTTTATACTATGGAACAAAGGACTACACTATATTCTCTATAGTGCTGCTGTGGTGCTCACAGGGAGTAGTATTCTCTTCTTAACTAGATGGCAAGTTTATTATAATTTACACTGAAGGATGGCAGAAACTCCCACCCCAAAATATACCACTTTGGAATAAGAATTATTTTGAGCAAAAGGCACTTGAAAAACAGCAGGTACAAGAAGAATGCTCTGACCTCCTCTTTTCTTCCTGAAAGCAGGAGATGCAAGTCCCCTGAGAAAGCTGCCCGCCCTGTCCCAGGAGGAAAGAAACACTCCCATCACCAGAGCCAGGGCGTCGAGGCCAAGGGAAAGCTGTACAAACAGACCTTGTTAAACTATCTTATCTTCCTGTGGCCTCCCCATATAGTTTAGTTGCGTTTCCACAACTGCCTCTCTTTGTTCAGCATAGTACTATAAAAGCATCTAGGTTTTGCCACTCCTTTGGGTCTTCATCTCCTTACAAAGGCTTCCATGTCACACAAAACTTAAATAAATGTGTATGCTTTTATCCTGCTAATCTGTTTTATGTCAATTTAATTCTAAGGTCCAGCCAAAGACTCCAAGTGGGTAGAGGTAAAGCTTTGTCTCCCCTACAACATCCTTTAAGTTTTACCCACAGTATCTTAGGGACTAATAGTAGCTTGTAAATGGAAGGAGTCCTAGGATATTATTTCATCTTTTCTGGTAATCCAAGAATATTCATATACTAATAATTTTATCCTCCAAGAACAAAGAGAAAACAACATGCTAAGATCAAGAACTCCCTTGAAAAGGCAAGACAATTAAAAGTCTAAAGGTTTTTTAAGTTACATGTTGGACTTGTACCTTGGAAGAGTAGCCAAAATGTTAAAAATATAATACATGATACAAAAGATATCAGTAATTCCTATAAAAATACCACATGATCTGATGCATTGATATTGAAAAAAAAAAAAAGAAGAAGAACTGAAATACCAAACATACTTTGGGAAGGCAGAAAGGCCCCAGTGGCATGAATAACATTATTAAACTGCATACAGTCGAGCAATATAACTGTCAAGTGCTGCAAGCCAGGGTGACGCATCTGGTTTCTGGATCATTATTATCACCATCCCCATGAGCCATCCTTATTCAAAGCATAGCTAAGAACCTTCATACTGACAGCGGAGTATAGGTAGTCCACCAGCTCAGAATCCCTGCTTGCTGCATCACGCCTTCAATAGGTTGACAAGTGTGGGAAAAGGACTGGTATTACTGTCCCAAAGTATTTGCCATCAGCTGGACTAAAGTAAATGGGGTGGAATGGAAAAATTCTGAAACATAGCAGCATGTTATCAAAATATTAGACATAGTTATGGACTACTGGGAAATCAAGCAATCAGAAATGGCATGATCAGAAGTATCAGTCCCAAGCCCGTGAATCTCCTGAAACACATCAGTCTTTTCAATCATAAGGATGACAATTGTCAACATATTGCTGTAAACATGAAGACTAGTAATAGCAAATTTTCATACAAAGTATCATTAATATAACCTTTTATTTAGGTAGGTTTAAATTTTTAATGAGAAACTTACCTTGCAGAACTTGACTTCTGCCTCTAAATGATGAATGTATTGAGACTGGTCATTGATGATAGGAACCAGATTGTGTACAGTAGGCATACTGCTTTCCTCTGATGACCTCTAAAGCAAAAAAACAAATACAAAAAAAATTAAGCATGCTTGGATTTGGCAAAGAATCAGTTAATACCATCTCCATATTCAATTTAGCACTGATGTCATAGAGACTAGATCACAATGTGGCTAATGGTATTTAGTTGTATACTATTTCTATTAGGACTAGTATAAATTCCACAAATAGCTAAGATTCAGGGATATGCATATCATCTTTTAAAGATGAAAAGTGAAAGCAGTTATAAAAAGCATATGGCAAATGGCGAAATGCTGAGGTAGTATAATCGGCTTGGGACGAACTGCCCATTTGAGCCATCTGAAAACGCGACACCCCTTTCAGCAATGCTGAGATAGAGGGACAACTCTCCTCAAGAAACCACCATGGAAGAGGACCGCTAGCTAAAACTGCCCAACAGCTGCCCGAAGACGGGATTCTGTAGACAAGCGTTTGAAGCAAAGTGTGTGTCAATGAGGTAAAATTCTACCTACGAAGGTGTACATTAGCAAAACGTGGCTTTTGATTTTTGACCCTAATACTCAAGGCAATTTGAGACTCTGCTGCTCTGGAGCACAGAGCCTCCGAGATCAGCGTGCTAAAGCGGATACACATGAAACCGAGATACACTGCACTGAGGAGTCTGATGAAGAGACTTCAGAAAAAGTGTGAATTCTGTTTACAGTCATGCGTCACTTAATGACGGGGATAAGTTCTAAGAAATGCGTTGTTAGGTGATTTCGTCGTTGTGCGAACATCATAGTGTGCACTTACACAAACCTAGACTGCATAGCCTACCACACACCTATGCTTCACGGTACTAATCTTATGGGATTGCTGTTGCACATGCGGGCCGTTGTGGACTGAAATGTTATGCAGCACATGACTGTACTTCTGCAGCATTCCTGGAATTGACTTTTAATGTATCTTACCTTATCCTAAAGTGATTGTAAAATTGTTTATAAAATCATATATCATACCACGATTTTTTTTAAATAAAAGAGGAAATCAGGAAAAGGGAAGATGAGGGTCAACCAGTTAGATGAACCCAGAAGAAAGCTTCAGATGAGACACAATCATTTTGTTTCTCAATCCAGCAGAAATTCCTAACAACAATGAAGTACCAGCTCTCACAGCAGAATAATTAAGTAGAACTTTGCTTTTTGGCAAATTGAAGAAATGTAAAAGCCAAAGTAACTTTAATTAAATGAATTATCTGTGGTGAGTAAAAGCAATTAATTATAATAATTTTATATTAATAGAAATGGATCCAGAACATAGGCAAATATGAATTAAGTATTACTATGTGTACATAGGGGATAGTCTGTGCGAAAAATTAAAAACTCAACTAATACTGTGTGGAAAATGTTCACATGAAATCATTTGTATATATTTTGAAGGGTTTATTAAAGTTTGAATATGCACATTTTAAAATAATAATATCTAGACATATTTTCCTTCTCAATAGTGCCTCAATTTCATTCTCGATACAGCCACATGTATCTGATATGTCATATTGGCTATGAAAATGCATTCTAAAGGGTACAACTTTCAAAAGCTACTTATTACTACTATGGCTTGTAATCATTACATGCAGGCTGTATACATTCAGAGTCTCAGTTCTTTTCTTTCACATAGTTCCCTGTAAATGAGACTGTGTTTGTAAAGTAGATACCGGATACACTGAACTGATGCTCTTGATGAGGGTCTTCCTGTCTATCCAGATTCAATCAGCTCCCTAACATCACTGCTCAGTTTTATCCTTAAAATGCTAATAAGCATGTCTGAGCATTCAACAGATACAGCAACTTCATCTACCAGACTTAAAAGTACTCCATCCTGTGTTCTTAAGAGCATTCTCAAAACTAGGTGCCAGCAGCAATAAATTTACTGAATTATGAAATGTTGTATTAAAATTATAATTTATACCTATAAATACATATTAAAAAGGAGTATGCAGTACATTTCTCTAAAGTGGGAGTTAAGCATGAAAGTATGTGCCAGGCTGGAATGAAGTGTTAATATGGGGGTACTGTGATGACATTTCAGCTGTGAGTAAAGGAAAGTGACATGTTCCTATGATTTCCAGCATGGAGCCTTGGTATCCAACTGTCACACAATTGAAAACGCAAGGTGGTTATTGCTGCTATGACATGTTATGTTTGTGTCATACTTCACAGGTTTCTAAAGAATTTTAAATATATAATCTTTTATTATAACAAAAACCCTGTGAGAGGCATATCCTTCTAGAAAGTAGGTGATAGGCCCTAGATAGATCTAAGGCCTAGACTATTATTTTGGCCATTTAAACCTGGCCAAATCCTCCCCTCACAGCTCCCTCAGCCTTTAGCATATCACATTGCTTCAATCAGGAATAATACACTCTGTCAAAGCAACAGCAACACAAAACAACTTCAGAAGAAATAGACAGTATAGCTTCTTGTATGGCACTATTTTATAACCATATATTTTAAAATGTAGACTAAGATTACATATTTCCGTTGTGACATTCAAAATAAAAGAGTATTACGAAGGATGGCTAAAATTATAATAATTCTAAAAATGATAAAATATAGATATGACCCTTTAAAAAAGAAATGGCCAATCTTTTCCATATATTGTTCCTTTTTTATACTTGCTAATGGTTGCAAAGTAAATTCTCCAAACTACTTCCTCACTCACATTTTTCAAGTGAACAATACATTAAAAAAATCAGGATTTCCTCTGCCATGGAAGTCTCTCTTCCTCAGCCAAAATAATTAGAGGTGAGAGAATTTCTTTCAACACTTTTATTAGAATACCCTGCTCAGAATTTGTCTACAACGTGTACTACTAAAATGATACTGTAAAGTTAAAACATAGTTAGAAAAACAATGCTTCTGTCAGGTTGCAAAAGTTGATACTTACCAAAGGGGACGTTTTTCGTCTCCTTGATGGAGATACCTCACTTTCCTTAGTTTCTTGTTGACGCAACAAAGCTTTGAGTTGATTAACTACAGAGCAAAAGCAATGGGTTTGTTAACCTTGTCTGAGATCCATGGTTTATCATCAGCCACCCATTGTTCCATCCATCCAAATATTCCAAATGTTCCATCCAAATGTTCCATCCAAACAAATATTGTTTAAACATGACTTATGCATCAAGAACTGTGCTATTGAATGGGGATACAAAGACAAACATGAGAAAATCTCTACCTCGTAAGAGCTAAGAATCCACTGAGCAAGAGAGATACACTAATAGATATAAAACAAGATAATAAGTTTGCATGTAAACCTGGAACTACACATAGTGGTACAGGAATAGGAAGGACCTAGTTGTGCCTGTTTTCACATAGGAGACAACACTGTGAGGATGAACAGGAGATCACCAAGCAATAGAGGGTGAGAAAAATTCCAATTAGAAGGTTTGGCATGTGCAAAAGCATAGAAGCACAGCCAGTGGGTTGGTTGACTAGGAGATGGCTTGTGAGATTGATGGATGGGAAGAGGATTAGAAAAATGATCCTGGAACGGTGGCTTGGAGCCATCTTAAGAAATATTGCTATGACATACTAAGGATTTTGGACTTCAGCCTGTAGGCATTGGGAAGTCAAAGAAAAAAATTAAGCAAGGGAATTATATATTAGCTGATTTGTGTTTAGGAATAAAATCCCAGCAGTAGAGTGGAGGATGGACTGGAGTTGTTACCGTATGAGTTTAAAGAACCCACTGTGTGTCATTCAGGTCAGGACTGCCATTCACACTCACCAGCATGGCTGTGCTGCAGCTCATGCCAGGCAGTCCCAGTGTCCTCGTTTCCTACACTGGTGCTGAGAGAAGGATCCAGTGCGTCTTCTCCCACAGTGACATCGCCTTCTCTCAGGGCACATTTCAGTTGGTAAATGCTTCTATTTGCACGTTCTGCAACAACAACACGATGAAAATCAGGGCCAGTGAAATCTGGGCAACCACATGTACACTTACGTAAGAAGGCAGTTTCTAAAAGAGAAGCAATTATTTCTGATACTTCATGGGAAAAAGCAGAGTTTTATTTCTAGCTTGCTGAGGAATCTGCTAGAGGAAGTGAGAGATTAAGTTCTTGATCTCTAAGGTCCCTGACACCTCAGAGGTTGACAGTCACTACAAATAGCTCTAGCCCCAAGGAGGCTTGAATGGGAGAGCTCCTCCCTGCCCCCTGGCCCCTGCACCCAAACAATAACCCGGCCTGAGGAAGCCCTCCTTCCCTTCAATGCCTGAGGCTTCTCTACTCCTCCTGGACACTCCGCAAGAGGGATTCCACCACACCGAGCTCCCGCCCAGAGAAGCCGCCTTGTCCCTGTCAGGGAGGTGTCCCTCCCCTACCGCAAGACACCCGGCTGCCTGGCCTAGTTTTAACCAAGATTCACAGAGCCGAATGCGTATAGCGGCAGCCTCTGTTGTGCAGCCCTTCTTACGTACCGCGGGCTGATCACATCTCACGGAGAAATTCTTGGTTAGTGCACCTGCCTAACCCTAGAATGGAAACTTAAATTCACTAGCACATATTTAACATAAACAGTACTAAAACAAGTATTTTAAGGTATACTACTGTAGTAGTTCATCTCTAAAAACAGCCCCCAAAGAACTTGTCCTCACGCCCTTGTCCCCTCCCAGGTCCAACTGTTCGGGCCTGTAACTCGCACTAACCAACAGCATACAGTGGAAGTTATCTCGCGTCAGGCCAGCCCTCATCTTTAAAATGTCTCGTAGCTTCTGCTTCCTCCTTCTTGGGAAGCTTGTTTTTGCGAACCCTCAGCCACTTAGTAGAAGTCTGGCCACCCTGCTGGAGAGACAGTGAAGAAGCCGTGCAGAAAGGAGAGGTCCTGAGACTGCAAGGAGGAGAGAGGCCCGGCGGCCACCGAACTGCAGACGCCTGCAGCGCTGCCCGGCAGAGTCCAGTGAAGCCACAGTGCTGTGAGAGAGTCTAAAACGCCCTTAGTGTTGCTTTCAGCCACCAAGTGTTGGAGTGGTTTGTTATACAGCAATAGATAACCGAAATAATTATTCAGTGAAGCACTTACCCAAAAAAACATTTGAGCAAAGTAGCCAAGTCTTACATTAATAACAGACCTATATAAATGACACTGGTGATGGCATTACTAATAATTCTACCCTATTTTATAGACATTTTTACATGTATAACAACTGGAGAACCATGCAATCAACTGGTAATTTCATTAATTAAAGTCCAGTTATTTTTTCAGGTCTAAACTTCTTATTTCTTTTGCTAATCTCTTATGATCAAAACCACCAGTTGCAAACAAAAAATATAACAAAAAAAGATTCCTTGCACAGTAGGGCTGGGACCCAGATTTCAGTCACTACTTTCAAATTTTGACATCTATATTTCAAAGTTATTTTTGAATTCATTCATTCATTCATTTACCAAACATTTAAATATATCTGACTTAGAAATTTATGTTAGGAAAAGAATTCACAACAAGTTCATGTACTGGTATTATCTAACTATTTCAAATGGATTTCATCTAAAGAATTCTTAAGATCTTTGTAGGAGATGGTACTCTCCCTAAGTAAGAGCAACTCATAACAACGACGGCCAATGAAGTCCTCACTCTCTTCTGATCTAGGTCCTTCTTTGACAATTTAGACTTACTTCTTGTGTCCTCAAGAGAAAAAGCTCCTATTCCTTGCTACCTATATGGGAACCCTATAAAGCTACAAAACACCTGTCTTTTCCTTACCAATCATGCCTGGAAATACATTTATAAACATTTATTCTACAGGACCTTGAAAAACAGGTTTCATTTTCTCCAAGCTCATTAATTTGAAAGTTTAAAATAGAAAAAATAACCATAACTTAACAGAAAAAAATATACACTATGTTACAAAATATCTAATATAAGTTCTTCACTTACAGCAACTCATTTTCTACCTCGATTAAACCAAAGAGAACAGGTCTTTTAGGTCGGGGTTCAACGGTGAAATTCTATTACTCAACTACACAAGTGACCCAGTGAATTTCTCACCACATTTTTCTCCACACCAATGCTATTTCCACACAGAGCTTTCTCTGACAGGAATTTGGTGGTGATTACTAACCAAGCCTGGCTTCCTCTTACTCATCGTGAGTTTAAAAAAAGTCCAGAGAAGATACATTCCTGATTTTAGCAAAATAAGAAGCAGCAACAGTTTTCCAATAACTCCAATACTTGTCCAGCAACAGTATTTTCTAGAGACTTGTTAATGGAAAAGGAAAATCAAAGTGTTAACATGATAAGCAGTTTCATTCAGAGCATTAGATTTATGAACTTAAATTTATGAATAAAGCACTTATCTTTATTGCATCCATTAGAAAGGAAACAGAGGGTTTGACTAACATTACAAATGTGCTCTGTGGAGCTATCAAATGACTTCACCTCTAAGACAAAGGATAATTACTTATTTATACCTGATCTGACTAAAAGCTAATAAACTTTATTAGGAAAAAGAAAGGAAATCTGAGAAAAATTGTGTAGTTGAAAATCCCCATAGGTGGGGTTCTTTCATCACATTACAGTGATAGTGGAGTTTTATGAGCCCATTTAATCCATTTTCTAATATTTTTATTTAATCTTTTAGAATTCATAACATTCAAAGACTATGAGTGAAACTACACTTTGAAAATAGTGTTATGTGGAATTCTGAGATATTGAACTCGACAACGATCCCAAAGAAAAGTGATAAACAAGGCTTGGGGTTTTTCAGAACCATTGAATTCACTTACTAGGATCAGAGAGGAAGAGAAGAAATTTGCAAGAACTGTGTCCTAAAACTAAAACTAAGGAGGTAAGTGATATTTTTAAGTCATTACAATACTACATTTCAAAACATGCTGACTGCTTTTCAAATATATACATAGTGATATAATTATACACTGTAACAGACAAACAGAGTTAATCCTGAGCAATAATAATGCTCAGATGATTCAAGACAGATGAAACCTCATTGCTCTTCAACTGGAGCCTCTGGAGCTGAAGGCCTCATAAACCTTACGAAGAACACTACTCCTCAGCTGCAGTTATCTGCTGCTTACATGTAAGGAAACTAGACGAGACAGGAGGTTGAGTTATCATTTCCTGTCCCACTGCTAATGGGCACGGCTTTATCTGTGGATAACCAAGAGTTAGAAAGACTACTCAATTCCTCTTCTCTCCTGAGAGGACAGTGAGGGTATCTCGCAGTACATCCTGATTGGTTCTCCCCAGCATCAACCACGGGCTGAATATAAAGTTAATTATGAATAAAAACACAAATAGGACCTCTGAGTCCTACAGAATCACATGAACATAAATGTAAGTTAGTAATATTTCTGCTAGTCTACTATCCAAACATCAATCAGCACACTGGGAAGGTTACTGAGCTCCCGACCGCCGATAAATTGAAGTCTATTTTATTAATTTTGGTAATCCAGTTTCCCTACATTCTAATTCCTAACTCACCATTGGGCCTCTTCTCATCAAGATGTTTTTGAACAAAAGGCAAACATGCCCCAGTCTAGGAAGGATCATCTCTTATATACGCACTGTGAATTATTAATGTCAACATTCTCCATCTGTACTGGGAGATGTGAACAAGAATTACCCTCATGACAGGGAGCAGGGACCACACCCTGTGAAGAGCCCAGCTGTCTCTGAGAAAACATGCAGTGAACCATGCCTCCTTAGGCGGAGACACAAGATGCACCGCAGTTCTCAAAACAAGCTTAGACCAAGGCAGACAAGCAGAAAAACGAAACCACAGTGAGATAAGAGATACATGTGTCTGTCCACACTTGACTGGGCCTCAGCTAGTTCAGAAGATTGCTGTCGCTGTTTACTAGGGGACTGACAGGTAGCATGACCAAGTTAAAAACAGCTAATCCAAAGTCAGACAAAACCAGCTTTGTAAATGCCAATTACAATAGTGAAAGAGATGAAAAGTAGTATGCAGAAACTAAAAAATCTCAAAGAAAATACTATCATAAGACTCTAACAGCTGAAAAATGTGTTAAAGCACTTGGCGCCAGGAGTGGAAGATAATCTGAACAAGAATGTAAACATCTTAAGAAAGCAGTGTCTGGAAGATCATTAATGATGTATGGATGTTGGCACATCAAGGAGATTTGCTATATGCATTATGAGCGATACACCTGGCACTTTTTTGGCACCAACGGAGAGGACTTCTGTCACCTGTCACCTTCCATTGATAAAGAAGTAATCCTAGCCAGAGTGGCAGAACATGGGTAAAACCATGAGCCAATACAATCCGTATTCTTAATTGTGATTATTCTCAAGGATGCTTCTTGCAGAGCAACGGCTATGAGCAGAGCCTTGCTACTTCTAGGTCATGGTTTCTCCCCTTCAGCACTATTGACATTTGGACCTGATAATTCTTTGTTGTAAAGGCGTGTTGTGCATCTTTAGCAGCATCCCTGGCTTCTACCTACTAGATGCCGGTAGAACTCCACCCCCACCCCAAGTTTTGACAACCAAATTATGTCTCTAGACATTACCCAATGTCCCGTGGGCAGAAAAATCACCTCTGGTTTAGAACCACTGGTTTAGATCAATAAAACAAGATAGCTAGTGTTCAGCCTTGAGGAGAGACTTCCCACATTACGACACTGTAACTGCAGCCAGCTCTTGATGAAAAGTGGGCAGGATAGTGAGCTATTCTGCCACAGTAGTGGCAGTGGGCAGTGCACAACCCTTGACCATCACTGCCATGATGGGGCACTTCTGATCCAGGTGTCAGGAGGTGTTACGTCCACTGTTATCAAGAGCTTGGAATTCATATTTATCTCATTTTGTTTCAAGGCATGGCACACGAAGCAAAAGTTATCCTGTAAGGCATTTTTCAGAGCTACCTTAGGTGACTACTCCTTTCAACAGTCCAGCGGGCTT